GTGATTTAGGTAGCTGGATCCCACATGATCAACTGTGTGGTTTGAGTCCTGGACCTGGTAGCTTGCAAAACTACACCAGGCATATGTGCATGCACACCCAAAATCCCAGGAGGAGAATGGAAGAAAAGGGATTGTGGCATGACCATCCCCTTGGGGAGTGCTTTCTCAGTTTCCCTCTCTTCTCTGTCTCTGGTGAGTACATGAACCCTGAAGAAAATTAAAAAAAAAAAAAGACATTAGCATGGCTTGAAAAGTCGAAGCTATACCGAAAAGAATGTCCAGAAATCTCCTTTCCTACCCAGTCCCTTTATTCCATTCCCTTCCGTATCCTTTCACTTCCATCCATACCACCTTACCGGTTTCCAGTTATCCTTCCTGTCTCTGCGTAACTAAACATGTACGTGTCTATTTCATTTCCCTTCTTTTATACATAACATATTGCTGTAGATACTCTTCTGACTTTGCGTATTTCTCATTCAAAAATGTACCCTGGGAACCACTCTCTAAGTTCCTGGAGATTCATTGATGGATTAATGGAATTCTTTCTCTCTAAACAGCTGTGTAATTTTCCACTGTGCGATTGTGTTCAGTAGTTTATTTAACCACTTTCCTATGTATGGGTATGTAGACGGTGTCACACTTGCTGTTACAAATAAGAACTTCTCTGTAACGCTTGCTCAATCTCGTCTCCATCTTTGTTGCGTGTCTCATTCGCGACAGCACACCCAGGAGGAGCTGCAGCAGCTGAGGTCAGACTTGGATGCTGTTTCCGTGAAGTGCAACAGCTTTTTTCATCAGTCTCCATCTGGTTCGAGTGTCCCAACTCTGCGCTCAGAACTGAATCTGCTGGTGGAGAAGATGGACCATGTCTATGGTCTCTCCACGGTCTACCTGAATAAGTGAGTGAGCTGAGGTTTTGGATTTAAAGAGCAATGTTTCTCATTGGGATAAGAAGGGAGAGGGCCTGGAGTATTTCAAGACTAATGCCAATAAAACCTCCTGCAGCTCTTGGAGGGAGCATACTCACGGTGCGACGTCTGGGCTTTAGTTTCTACTGACGGAATGGGTTCACTTGGCTGCTATGGGCAAACCCCAGTGATGTGGGTGGGGAGTTCATTTACAGCATGAGGACTGTCTGCACCCCATTTTTATTTCATTAGATACCTCTAAAAAGAACACTTAAAGGCATTTAAGAGAAAGGGAGAGAGAGTAAATAAAAAGGCAAGTTTTCAGTTCACCTAGATTGTTAGCTTTGAAGGGCTTCCTTCTACGCACCTATCTCTACCTATGACTTGGAGGAATAACAGATCTTGATCATGTCACTTGGGTTTCTGGCCTCACGTGTTTTTTCTGCAAGTCTGTTACATGTGTGCATATCCCAGTGCCACTTAGAACTACATTTTTTAAAAAAATTGTTTTTCTACTTTATTTTAATTTGACCAGAGAGGGTCAGAGTGAAAGAGAGACAGAGATAGAGACAGAGAGACAGAAAGAGAAAGCCACCAGATCTGGGACTCAAACCATGGTTGGCCATGTGGGAGTCCAGCACTCTTAACCACAACGCCACCTGTCGGCCCCACTTAGAACTACATTTTGAACTGGCTTCAATTGACATCATATATAAGGAGGTGCAAAAAGTTTGTGGAAAAAGCATTTTGTGAAGAAATTGCATGGATTTCAAGTTTTTTTTTTGCACAAATAACCTCAGACTTCAGTTCAGTTTTCCACAAACTTTATGAAATACCTTCACGTACCACTCTTTCTTGTTTTTATAAAAGACCATCCTCATCTAATAACGGTGAAATGGATTTTGGCAGCGGCGTTTTGCAAACCTGTCTACAGTCCAGGTGTGTAAGCAGTTCTTAACGTTAGCGTGTTAACGAAGGGAGGTGATCTTCTCCCCGCAGGTTAAAGACAGTCGATGTTCTGGTGCGCAGCATCCAGGATGCTGAGCTCTTGGTCAAAGGCTACGAGATCAAGCTGAGTCAGGAAGAAGCAGTTCCGGCCGACGTCTCAGCTCTGGAGTCCCATCGCTCCACATTACGGGTTGGTGGCTCCGAATTTCTTTGTTGGTTGATTCAGCATATCCGTTGCTTTGCGTTGGCAGAGAAATGCAACTTTGGATCACACGACAGTGATTTACGTTTACATTTCTGCTAAGCAGAATATCCTGGTTATTTTGATAGCAATGTAACTTAATGTGTATTAGAAGAAGGGCCTGAGAAACATGTCTAGCTAGGGAGGGAAGAGCATGGATTAAGTCTACTTCTTTTCTCCCCAGTAAAATCATAGCTTCCATGGGTATAATCGATGTGTCTAAGTTATGCTGTAAGACTGTAAAGCACTAACTATTATCTCATTTGGTTCTCACAAGCTACTTTTTGGGGTGAACAAGAAAGGGATTTTATGTCCGATTACAGATGAGAAAACCAAGACTCAGACTGACTGAATGACTTTTAGTAAAGCCAGTTTGTGTATTTCTCGAGTACTACCTGCCTCTGGCTTCCCAGTATACATCAACACAGAGACCGTGAGCTATCTGAAAGTGTTTTTTGCACAGACTCGCTAGGGGGCTAGTGTCTGATCACAGCTGTAATGTGGAGCCGGCCATGGACAGTGTCTTTGCTTCCTACCTCGGTCTGAACCCTTCTGAGCAGGGAAAACATTTAACTTGTTTCTGGACTTCCGTTTTTATAGCATTGGCTTACCGATGTGAAGGACAAGAATTCAGTGTTTTCAGGCCTGGAGGAAGAAATTGCCAAGGCCAAGGTCGTGGCGGAGCAACTGAGTCGTCTAACACCAGAGCGAAACCTGGATCTGGAGCGCTTCCAGGAGAAGGGTTCCCAGCTCCAGGAGCGCTGGCACCGGGTCATCGCCCAACTTGAGAGCCGGTGAGTGCCCCACCTTTTCCCCGTTAGAGTTCAAGAACTAGGTTTGAGACATTCAGTTATATTGTCTTTTAAGCCAGAATTAATGAGAAGGGTCCAAACTGCAAAAACAGTGTACATTCTGGACAAGATAAGGGACAGAAAGCTGGACCCCCAACCCTGAAGCAGACCTGAGGCCTGCTTGTGGATTAGCAATGATGGTTCTGTTAAGTGGTGCCTCCCCTATGTCCCAGATCTGAAATAATTTAGCCTTTGATGCCAGTGGCTCCTTAGACTGGAAAGGTCACGTGATCTTTTCCTTTCCTTTTTTTGAGAGATTTTTATTATAGGGCACTGGAGAGACTGAGAGACAGAAAGTAAGAAGTCACCCCTCAGTGCAGATGGCCACACCCCAGTCCCTTCTCCTCCATTCTCCTCTTGGGATTTTGGGCATGCATGCACGCGTGTGCACACACACCCGGCGTGTTTCAAACCGCCAGATCTGGGACTTGAACTGTGGTCAGTCATGTTGGAGCCTAGCATTTTTCTTTTTATCTTTTTCTTTTTTCTTTTCTTGGTTTTTTTTTTTTTTTTTTTTTTTTTTTTCTTAGGTGTGATTTTTGCTATAGCAGGATGCATGTGTTCACTGGAGGGACAGAGAGACAAAAAGCAAGAAATCACCCCTGGGCGGGGGAGGGGAAATGGCCATGCCACAATCTTTCTCCTTCTTTCTTCTCTCTGGGATTTTGGGCTGATACCTTTTGTTTGTTTGTTTTGTTTTGTTTTGAGAGGTTTTTGCTATAGGGCATGTGCGCTCGCCAGAAAGACAGAGAGAGACAGAGAGTGAGAAATCACTCCCAAGGGGGGATGGCCATGCCACAGTCCCCTCTCCTCCATTCTCCTCTTAGGATCTTGGGCATGCATGCACATGCGCCCAGCGTGAGTTTAAGCCATTGGGTCGGGGACTCGAGCCGCGGTCAACTACATGGAAGTCTTGCGACATAGCCATTATGCCAACTGCTGGTCCCATGCCTGGCGTGTTTTAAGCTGCCAGGTCCAGGGGTCAAACTGCTGTCAAATCCGTTCAAGTCTAGCAAAGTAACCATTATGCCATCTGCTGGTCTTGGAGCCTAGCATGTTTCAAGCCCCCGGGTCCAGGATTCAAACCATGGTCGATTATGTGGGAGTTCAGCGCCACCTGTGGACCCTGGTGATCTTTTCTTAAGGACAGAACCTAGGTTCTAGTTTTTGTTTTACTAACTTTGAATCTAATTACGAGGCACTTTTTATAGTAGAGCTTTATAGAATTTCATGCTTTCGTCTCATTTGCTAATTCAGGTTTTTTTTGTTTGTTTTAATCACTGTTAGTTAGGTTCTGCCTCTGACAGATATGAACAGGAGAGAGAGAAAACTGCACCTTTCTAATGCTAAGCTGGGAGGGAAACATGTGAGGAGGGATTTTTTTCCCTAAAAGAATTATTTATTTAATTTTATTCATTCATTTATTTTCATTAGACTAGAGAGAGACAGAGAGAGAGAGCTAAAGTGAGAAAACAAGCCACCAGGTCTGAGACTCGAACTGTGGTCAGTCATGTAGGAGTGTCCAGCACCTTAACCACCACGCCACTTGCTAATGCCCAAGAAAGCAAGCTGTCAGGTCTGGGACTTGAACCATGGTCAGCCATGTGGGAGTCCAGCACCTTAACCACCATGCTGTCTGCCAGCCCTGGGGAAAGGAATTTTAGCAACTGTATAAATGTGGATTGATTTTTCTGTAGTTGAATTACTGTCCCAGGCAGGGCTTGTTCGTCTAACAGAACTGATAACTGTTACAGGAAATAACAGTAAATCCCTCCAACATTACAGCGACTCGTTAGTCACAGCCATGTTCCTCCGACGGGTGCTGTCATCGCAGCACAGAAGTGTACAGCTGCTACTACTTTATGGCAGCCTCAGTGCTCCTTAGTCCCCTAAATACAAATTTTGACAAGGATTGTCACTGGGTGTCAGGCCACAGCATTTTCCAAGGTTAGAAGGACCTGAGTGGCTTTTACTCTTTACCCCGAGGGCACTGCGTGCACGTGTAGGTCTGACTTGGTCTCGTATCATTCTGCCTTGTAGCTAACGATGCACCCTCTGTGGTCAAGCCCAGCTGCAGGCACGGGCTGAGGAGGGAATTGCCTCACTTACATTATTTATGCTAAGGCCTCTGGCATTTCCTTCTGCTCTGCCAGCCAAGCTGAGCTAGGAAGTATCCAGGAAGTCCTGGGAGATTACCGCGCCTGCCATGGGACACTCATCAAGTGGATTGAGGAAACCACGGCCCAGCAGGAAATGATGAAGCCAGGCCAGGCAGAGGACAGCAGAGTGCTGTCGGAGCAGCTCAGCCAGCAGACGGTGGGTATGGCGGGAGTGTGGTGGAAGTTGAAGGAGGGCGTGAGCTTGGCCGAAAAGAAGATGGTGTTCTTTTTTTCTTTCTTTCTTTCTTTCTTTCTTTCTTTTTTTTTTTTTTTTTGAGAGGGTGCATGCGCTTGCCAGACAGACAGAGACATAGAGACAGAAAGCGAGAAATCACCCCCCCAGAGGGGATGGTCACGCCGCAATCCCTTCTCCTCCATTCTCCTCTTGAGATCTTGGGCACCCCGCACACGCTCCCGGCGGGAGTTTTAAGCCACAGGGTCTGGGACACGAACCGCGGTCGACTACGTGGGAGTCCAGTGACATAGCCATTACGCTAACTGCTGATTCCCATTATGTGCATTTCTTTAATTTTGAAAAATACACCCAGGAGAACCCATGTGTTTTATTAAGGGATGCACACATTAACAAAGCATTTCTTATAGTTTTCCAAAACTCTGTATCAGAATCAGATTTGTAAATTAAATATGTCAGAACTTTTTTTTTATATGATCAGTTATTTAATCAGGTTCTTGACAAAAAAATCTAGAACAACAATTTGTGAGGATAAACTCTATTTGTAAGGGCAAACACGGATCGCAGGTAGCCCTGGAGCTGAGGAACAGCTTTGACTTTTGGTAAAATTTGCAAGTCCACAGCTTTCTGATCAACCTTGCACTGCTCTGAAATCTTGTATTTCTCCTTCTCTGTGTCGAAGATCTCTTCTTCCTGGTGTCAGGGCTTCTGTAGTTTCTCTTTCTTGAAGTAAGCATCAGTAAGGTGCTTCGGGATTTTTACTTTGCTAATATCAAATTTCGTGAAGGTGGCAATGACAAATTTCTGGTGTGTTCTACTCAGTGGAACTCGATTGAGAACCAGAGATCCAGTCACAAGTAGCAAGCTACTGCTCAGCTGCTTCAGGAAAACCACTCTCTTGCCTCTGTGGCGTCCAGTGAGGATGATCAGAATGGTCCCAGGAGTGATGCTGGCTCGCAGCTTCCTCACATGCTGACTGAAGGGTTTTTTGCCGTGGCTCAACAGCTTTCGAGGCACATCTTCAGTAGGATAACACCTAGACATTTTGCGCAGTTTAACCACCCGGGTGCCACCATTCTTGTCTCCACCAACTGGTTTTGTGACAGTCGCAAGAACCTTCTCTTCTTTTTCTTTTCGATCCTGGATTTGGCGGCCGAGTATTTCTCTTGTACGTGGCCTTCCTGGAATACATGGCAGACCGGGAGTATCTGCCGATGCCCTGGACTAGGACAGGGTTTCGGCTGCAATGGGGCTTCCCCTTCTTGGGCTTTTTAGCCTTGGGGTCACTCTTTTTAACCTTGCCACTGGCTTCAGCCTTCTTGGCTTCAGGTTTTTTCTCCTTAGTGTCCTGCTTTGCAGCTTTTTCACCTGCCATCTTGTATAATGAGAAAGAGCAAAGTATTAGAACTTTTTAAGTTAAAGGGAAATCCCTGAAACTACTAGATATGCTAAGGTATTTTTCTAAAATCAAATGAACAGAGTCTATGAATATGACTTGTGTTAAATAAGGTTTATTCTTAGCTTTATTTCCTGTAGTCTATACAAGCGACTTTATTGTGCCTTTGCAAACAGGATACATTTTTCAAAAAACGAATCAAAATTTTTCATATGTATAGCCCTGGATAGATTACAGTGTAACAATACTTGCTACATAATTATAGAAATACTACAGAAAGGTGTTGAAAATTCCAGGCCCTGTCTTCTTTGAAGGGCTCCTACGAGTGGTCTCGAGATAACTGGTTTCGCTTTTCGTCAGAGGACTTAATAATGTCCCTGAGTTTCTGTGACTATTGAAATCACTAGTGGACAGATTTCTGTTTGTTTATGTTTTAATTTACTATAGGGTGCTTGTGCTCACCAGAGAGAGATTAGGGGGGATTAGGAGAGCACCCCCGCCCCCACGCGGGGGGCTGGCCACACTGCAGTCTCATCTTCTCCATTCTCCCGTCGGGATTTGGGCACACATGCGCACATTGTTGTGGTTTTCAAACTGCTATGCTGCTGGCCATGTGGAGTCCAGCCGCCTTAACCACCATATCACTGGCTGACCCTGGGTAGATGAGATATTTCCATTTAATCTCTATTACCCCCTCCCCTCCTCTCATTGCCAGAGGACATGTGCTTTCCAGAGAGAGCGAGAAGCCCTCCATGGGACATGGACACACTACAGTCTTCCTTCCGTAATTTCTCTGCTCCATCAGGATTTGAGGCATATGTGGACACTCACCCAGCATCTTCCTCAAACTGCTTGGACTAGGATTAGAACCATAGTCGGCCATGTGGGATCTGGTGCTCTCTACATAGAGCTTAACCCCTGAGCTATGTAGCTGGCCCTGCTTTGTTTCTCGATATTATATTTTATGTTATGAAGATTAGAATGTAGAGATTGGAAAACTAAGAAAAATTGGGGCTGGCAGGTAGTGTGGTGGTTAAGGGCCCTGGACTCCCATGTGGCCAGTCATGGTGTGAGTCCCAGATCTGGCGGCTTGAGTTCTCATTTACCCTCACTCTCTCTCTCGCTTGATCCGTCTCTGGTTAAATTAAAATAAATAAATACATAAATAAATAAAAGATTAAATAAAATAATTCTTTTTTTTGGAGAGAGTTTTACTGTAGGGCACATGCGCTCGCCAGAAAGACAGACAGAGAGATAGAAGTGAGAAATCACCTCCCCAGGGGGGATGGCCACACCACAATCCCTTCTCCTCCTTCTCCTCTCGGGATCTTGGGCACACATGCACACACGCCCGACGTGAGTCCAAGCCACCGGGTCCAGGACACGAACCACAGCTGACTACATGGAAGTCCAGCAACATAGACATTATACCAAGTGCTGGTCCCAATAAAATAATTCTTTAAAAAAAAGAAAACTTAAAAAAAAAATCTCTTGGTAAAAGAATATTTCATTTGAAGCATGTTTTATTGGTATTTTGTTTTGTTTTGTTTTAGCTTTATGGTTAATTTTGTCAGGCCTGGAGTTAAATTTGCTGGATTCCAATCCTGACTCACTCATCTATCTATGAGGCCTTGAACAAATCACATAACTTCTCAGCAATAAAATGGACATAGTTTATTATCTATAAGGTTATTGTTTTAGAATGGAATGAAATAATGCATATAAATTAGTTAGAACCCTGGTTCTCCAAGTGTGGACCCCAGACCGTCAGTATTTTTTTTTTCTTCAGTTATTTTATTTATTTATTTATTTTTTTGGAGAGGTTTTTGCTATAGGACACGTGTGCTTGCCAGACAGACAGAGACAGAGAGACAGAAAGCGAGAAATCACCCCCCAGGGGGGATGGCCACGCCGCAATCTCTTCTCCTCCATTCTCCTCTCGGGATCCTGGGCACGCACGCACACGCACCCGGCGTGAGTTTTAAGCCACCGGGTCTAGGACGCGAACCGCGGTCGACTACGTGGGAGTCCAGCGACATAGCCATTACGCTAACTGCTGGTCCCCAGACCTGGGGTCATGCTGGTAAGGAGAGTTCTTGGAGCTGATCCCCGGCCCTCCTCGGAGATGCTGTGCGGGGAGGTAGGGTAACAGTCGTGTTTTCACTGGCCTTCACGGTGATTTCCTGCAGCCACTGCTCCAGGACATAGCGAATGCTGTCAGTGTCCATGATGATAATGTTCTGGTATTTTTGGTTCCTAGGATCTGTTTGCAGAAATCGAGAGAAATCAGACAAAACTGGACCAGTGTCAAAAATTTTCCCAGCAGTACTCCACTACTGTCAAGGTAACTGCCACATCCCGGAAGAGACAGAAATGACCTCTAGTTTAGAGAACTCTACATCGTCTCTGTAAGTCCCATTTCTGGACAAATTAGGCCAAGTCTGTCTGCTAGAGGCTGGCCCTACCTTTCAGTTAGTGCAGATGTGTGACTGCTGTGGCTCCAGCGTGGGGATGCTCAGAGAGGTGCCAGGCAGAATCTTCGGGTTTTCTTTTCAGATATTCTTCTCCTGTCTTGCCTATCTCAGGAAATAGTATCACTATTTTTCCTAGTTATTGAGGCAAAAGAAAAACCTACCAAAAAAAAAAAAAAAGTCACCCATAACTCTTCTCCTAGCCTAAACTTGTGTTCCTATCTCAGATCTGACTACTTCTCTCCCCTGTATTTCCTAGTTCACATCTAGGTGAGGGTTCTAACCTCGACCACTGCAGAGCTTAATCTGGTCTCTTGCTTTGGCTCCTGCACCCCCACACTGTTTTCCAGTACAGAGCAGGACTTCTTTCACGAATGTAGTATGGCAGTGACTCTCAGCACCACCGAGTAGAAGCTCCACCATATGCACACACGTTTTCTGATGTCAGAGGGGCTGTGCACATCCATAAGAAAGGAGAAGGGAAGGGTGTGGAGAGAGGCTGCCCAGTGGGCCTGACGGTGTTGCAGCTGTCTTGCTGTCAGGCCCCTGGGCATGTGAATGCCCATCATGCTTCTCAGGCCACTCGGGCTAGGACCTGAACCCTGGTCTGGCCTGTGGAGTCTGGCTCCTCCTGTGTAGTGCCAGTGGTCTCACATCGTATTTTTATGTGTAAGAAAACATTAAAAAAAGAAACTTCCAATTCTGAGACATGTCATTGATTATAAAGATATATTCTAATTTTAGAGATGCTAAAATGTGAGGGGGAATGTGTAGCTTAGAATAGATGAAATGTGGTAAATTGGATCATGTCACTCACTTAAAATAGTCCAGTGGTTTCATACTGTATTCATACTAAAATCCTTTCTTTTTTTAAAATTTAATTTGCCAGAGGATACTTGCACAAAGGTATATACCGGAGGGTAAGCAAGAGGGAGGAAGTGAGGAAGTCCCACAGGCCACCCCTCAGCCAGGGCGTGGTCAAGCCTTAATCCCTTCTACTCCATCCCTCCCTTTTGAGGTTTTGGGTATGCATGCACACGCACCCAGTGTGGTGTTTTGTTGTTGTTTGTTTTTTTTTTTTGGAGAGGTTTTTGCTATAGGGTGCGTGCGCTCACCAGACAGACAGAGAGAGACAGAGAGATAGAAAGCGAGAAATCACCCCCCAGGGGGATGGCCACACCGCAATCCCTTCTCCTCTGGGATCTTGGACACACATGCACACACCCCCAGCGTGTTTTAAGCCACCGGGTCAGGGACTCGAACTGTGGTCGATTACATGGGAGTCCAGTGACATAGCCATTACGCCAACTGCTGCTGGTCCCCCCAGTGTGTTTTTCAAGCCACCCACTCTGGGGCTCTTAACCGCATGGGCGACCGTGTGGGATCCAGCTGCCTTAACTGCCACAGCACAGGCTGGCTGCCTAAGACAGTGCTACTCCTTACATGATGTGCAAGGCCATGCATGATCCGACCCTCCCGCTTCTTTGAAAACATCTTCAGAGAAAAACAACTTGGGATTATTATGTACTTTTTTGGTTATTATGTGACACCCACTAGAATGTCAGTTTGGGACGCGGTTTGTTTCTGACTCTCCCCGCTCTGTGTATAGCACTCAGGACAATGGTGGGCACGTAGTGATGTTCAACAGCTATTTTTTGAATGAATGCATTTCTTTGTAACAGAAGACTTGGTGCTGGAAAGAACTGAGTTCAAATCCTAGCTTTACCATTTTCCAGACTTGAGACTTTGCACAAGCTCTTAGCCTCACCGAGCTCTGTTGCTGTATCTCTAAACGGGAACAGTGACTGCCTCACTGAGAGACGGGCAAGATGTACACCCAGCACAGTGCCTCAGCCTTCAGCTACCTTCAGAGAATGTAGCGGTTGCTTTTATCACCCTTCAGACTGTTTCATTACTACTGTTTCTTCTATATTCCTTAAGGAGCTCAGCCCATGTTTTCTTTCTGCCTAGAGTATTTTTTTAAATATTTTATTTATTATAATTATTATTTTTTAGTTGCCGTAGGGCATGTGCACCCGCTAGAGAAAGAAGGTGAGAAAGCAAGCTGTCGGGTCCAGGACTTGAACCTCAGTCAGCCCTATGGGAGTCCAGCACCTTAACCACCATGCTACCTGCTGGTCCCCCTGCCTAGTGCTTTTCAAGTAGACAACAGGAGCAGTGCCTCCTAGGCAAAGGAACTGCATAGTTAAAGACGGCAGAGGATTACAAATATGTAACGATATGAGGAAATAGAAGTAATGTGTCCCTTAACGGCAGAGATATACTCTGAGAATGTGTCGTTAGACGTTTATGTCACGTGCTCATTGCAGAGTGTGCGAACCCACACTTACAGGGCACACCCCCACTCACCTAGGCCGTGTGGTACAGTCTGACAGGGTCACCATTGTGGTCGTGAGCTCCCCTTGGCACGTGACTGGATTCTGGGACGGCTGGAGGGTATGTGGCACACGAGGAGCGGTGACTATGGAAGGGCGTGAAGGTCCTTGTTCAGCTGTTTATCTTCTAGTCTTGGTACTCAGAATGTTGTCTTTTTTTTTATTTATTCATTCACTCATTCTTTTTTTTAAAAAAAGTTATTTTATTTATCTTTATTTATTTTAATTCGATGGGGTGGGGGCAGTGAGAGTGAGAGAGTGAAAGTGAGAAAGCAAGCCGCCAGGTCCGGGACTTGAACCATAGTTGACCATGTGGGACTCGAGTGCCTTAACCACCACACCACCTGCTGGCCCAGAATGTTGTCTTTGAGTCAGTAGCATTGGCATCACCTGGGTGCAGAGTCCTTGTAGTAAGGTCGCCAGGTGCTTCGTATACCTGTCGATGTTTGGGAAGCTCTGGTCTGAGTCATTAAAAGCGTTTAAGAAGAGTGACGCGGCTGTTGGAGTGTTGGAGAAGAGCTGTTCTGGTGACAGGATAAAGACGTCGAAGGGAGACAGAGCAGAGAGAGGCAGAGGGCCGGGGCTAAGGCTGCACTCAAGGGTTGCGGGGGAAACAGCAGACTCATGGGCGGAACGGGAAGAGTCCTGGTTCAGGGATCAGAGGGCTGAGATTTTCTCATCTGCCGCTCGCTCACTGAGTTATTGGGGAAAGTCACCTGCCCTTGGGATTTCAGCTTCCCCAAGGATGAGATCAAAGAATAAGTCAGGAAACTACAACCCACAGGCTAAATCCAGCCCATATGCCTATTTTTGTATGGTCGATGAGAAATGGTTAGAAAAGAAGTCAAAAGAAGAATATTTTATGACACAAAAATTACGTGAACTCTGATTTCCGACGGCCATAAGCAACATTTCATTGTAGTCCAGCCACTTACGTATCATCCTCGGCGATGTTCCCTTGCAACGGCAAAGTCCAGTTGTTGAGCGACACACGTAGTGCAGCCAGGTGATTTCTTTTTTTAAGCCACTGGTTCTGGGACCCGAACCGTGGTCAGCTACATGGGAGTCCAGCAACATAGCCATGATGCCAACTGCTGGTCCCATGGCCAGGTGATTTCTATCTAGCTCTTTCTAGGAAACGTTTGCCAACCTCTAGCCTGAGTGGTCTGCATTTCTGTCGCATGGCGTGTGTGGCCATGGAGCCCTAAAGAAACGTCTCTTTCCCTGCAGAGTCCTTGTAGTAAGGTCGCCAGGTGCTTCGTATACCTGTCGATGTTTGGGAAGCTCTGGTCTGAGTCATTAAAAGCGTTTAAGAAGAGTGACGCGGCTGTTGGAGTGTTGGAGAAGAGCTGTTCTGGTGACAGGATAAAGACGTCGAAGGGAGACAGAGCAGAGAGAGGCAGAGGGCCGGGGCTAAGGCTGCACTCAAGGGTTGCGGGGGAAACAGCAGACTCATGGGCGGAACGGGAAGAGTCCTGGTTCAGGGATCAGAGGGCTGAGATTTTCTCATCTGCCGCTCGCTCACTGAGTTATTGGGGAAAGTCACCTGCCCTTGGGATTTCAGCTTCCCCAAGGATGAGATCAAAGAATAAGTCAGGAAACTACAACCCACAGGCTAAATCCAGCCCATATGCCTATTTTTGTATGGTCGATGAGAAATGGTTAGAAAAGAAGTCAAAAGAAGAATATTTTATGACACAAAAATTACGTGAACTCTGATTTCCGACGGCCATAAGCAACATTTCATTGTAGTCCAGCCACTTACGTATCATCCTCGGCGATGTTCCCTTGCAACGGCAAAGTCCAGTTGTTGAGCGACACACGTAGTGCAGCCAGGTGATTTCTTTTTTTAAGCCACTGGTTCTGGGACCCGAACCGTGGTCAGCTACATGGGAGTCCAGCAACATAGCCATGATGCCAACTGCTGGTCCCATGGCCAGGTGATTTCTATCTAGCTCTTTCTAGGAAACGTTTGCCAACCTCTAGCCTGAGTGGTCTGCATTTCTGTCGCATGGCGTGTGTGGCCATGGAGCCCTAAAGAAAAATCTCTTTCCATGCCAGGACTATGAATTGCAGCTAATGACGTACAAGGCCTTCGTGGAGTCACAGCAGAAGTCCCCGGGCAGGCGACGTCGCATGCCTTCCTCTTCAGATGCCATCACACAAGAGGTGAGGGGTGGGAACCGGAAGCAGGCTGCTCTCTTCTCTTAGAGAAGATGCATGTGTGTGGGCTCTGTAGTTCAAACTAGGGCTCACCCTCCCGTGGAGTTTGTGGTTCTGTGAACATTTCCCCATATTTCTGACTATTTAAATAAACTTTTCTGGCATGTAGTTTACCTAAGTTGTTTTTCTGAACTGTAGTTCATGGACCTAAGGACCCGGTACACAGCCTTGGTGACCCTGACCACCCAGCACGTGAAGTACATCAGCGACGCGCTCCGGCGGCTGGAGGAGGAAGAGGTAAGGGCGGTCGGTTCCTAGTCACCTTTTGAGTGTAATTGAAAGTCTTTGCCTGACCGATCCAGGTTTAGAGTACACACCATGGACCGCCATCATTTGGTTGTGTTCAGTAAAGTCGTTGCATCAATGAATGTTGAAACATTTTCGTCTATCAGCATTTTTGTAGGTGGATCAATACATAGTCGGGAGGTCAGTACATCTTATTGTATGTGTGTGTGTGTGTTCCTTTTAAAAAACAGTTTGTTTACGTGGTTGACTCACTGACATCGAAGTTGTCACCCATAGCACCATAACCCCTGCCTGGTTTTCTCTGTGAGCACATCACAGCCTTCCTGGGCTACGAACGTCAGACACCACCACCTCAGGGCCGTTTTAAATAAGGAAATCACCCCCCCAAAAAAACCCAAAATAGGGAAAAGCCTGGCACTGAATACACTGGAAAGAACATGAATTCACAATGTGAAAGCGGGGACCTAAAGGCCAAGCGATGCCGTGTCCGCCGTTGGCTGATCACTCGCGCAGTGGGCAGGTAGCTTTTCTGCTGCGCTGCCTGTGATTGGGCGTGACCCGGAGAGCACCGCGCACGTTGACTTGGGAGTCACAGTCTTCTGCGCAGACACCACAACTACAGAATCTGGATAGTGAGGACTGTGCCACACCTAGCACGTCCACCGCTGAGTATCTCCACTTATTAATACACGAGGACAGTGAAAGAGAGGTGAGAGAGATCTTCAGTCATTTGTAAGAGGAAAATATAGGAACTTTCCCAATTCCATACAGTGGAATTCTGCAAAACTGTTAAAAATAATGAGATGATGGGAACCAGCAGTTAATGTAATGGCTATATCGCTAGACCCACGTAGTTGACCACAGTTTGAATCCCGGACCCGGTGGCTTAAAACTCATGCCGGGCGTGTGTGCGTGTGTGCCCAAGATCCTGAGAGGAGAATGGAGGAGAAGGGATTGCGGCGTGGCCATCCCCCCTGGGGGGTGATTTCTTGCTTTCTGTCTCTCTGTTTCTCTCTGTTTGGCGAGCGCACGCACCCTATAGTGAAAAATAATAATAATGAGATGTTCCTCACTTGTGTTTTTTGAAAGATTTTTGCTATAGGGCTCGTATGCTTGCCAGAAAGACAGAGACAGAGAGACAGAAAGTGAGAAATCATCTCCCAGAGGGATGGCCACACCACAATCCCTTCTCCTCCATTCTCCTCTCGGGATCTTGAGCACACGCCCAGCGCGAGTTTAAGCCACAAGGGCCGGGACTCGAACCACAGTTAACTACATGGGAGTCCAGTGACATAGCCATTATGCCAACCGCTGGTCCCAGTGTGCTCCTCGCTTGTAAACCTACGAATTATGAAAATGAGTGAGGTGCTTTATGTAAAGTGATCTTCTTAAAAGTCTTATTTTCCTCAAATTCCCGATTTTTTTTTTTTTTAAGTTTATTCAGTATTCCCTGTGTGAGAGAGGAGACCAACAGAATCACAGCACCGTGGACTATGTCCCACCTCGCCTTAGCCAGCCCCGGACCGGGGCCTGTGTGTGTCCGACGTGCTCAGAAAGGCCTCTGGATGCGAACCAGTGACCTTGCCGAGTGGGTCTGCCTCACAGGGTGTTGTGTTTTATTGCCCTGCCACTGCCTGGCCCTGAAGGGCTCTTTTGTTTATTAAGTAATTACCCGTGTGCCTGCCATATGTAAAGCAGTGCTTTTTATAGAAAGGTGCTAGCCTGGGTGAGATTAATTTAGCTGTGAAGTATCGCATAGTTAGGCACCTGTGAGCAACGGCCACAGGCTGGGAAAACTATATTTAACGTGGGTTTATTTTTGTCACCTACTGACTTGGGTGACTTTCATTGTCTCTGTGTTAGGGAAGCTGACATCATACCAGTCTAACTAAGAATGACTCAGGTACTGATTTTTCTTATTTCCTGTTCTAGAAAGTGGTCGAAGAGGAAAAACAGGAACATGTGGAGAAGGTTAAAGAGCTTTTGGGCTGGGTATCTACCCTAGCAAGGCATACACAAGGAAAAGCTACCTCATCCCAGACCAAAGAACCTACAGACATTGAAAAAGCCATTTTGGAACAGCAGGTGAGTAGAGGGCCCTGCTCGCTCTGCCTGGGCAGGCTGACATGTGCTGGTGTGTGAAGAGGAAGAACACAAGGCCCATACAAACCATCTTACCTGAGCGAATGTTAACTTCCAGGACTTAGAGAAGTCACCTTTTCTGTATGTCTAATTTTGTAATCATTGGTGATAATAACCTAAGTCTCTCTCTCTTCTCCCTCCTTTTTTTTTTTCCTTAGAGAGATTTTTGCTATAGGACATGTACGCTCTCTTGAGAGACAGGGAGAGACAGAGAGACAGAAAGCAAAAAATCTTCCTTCTGGAGGATAGCCACGCCGCAGTCCCCTCTCCTCTATTGTCCTCTCAGGATTTTGGGCACACACACACAAGCACCCAGTGTGAGTTTATGCCACCAGGTCCAGTACTTGAACCGTGGTCAACTATGTGGGAATCCAGCAATGTAACCATTACACCATCTGGTGGTCCCTAGTCTCTTTTTTAAAAAAGAATTATTTACTTAATTTTATTCATTTATTATTTTATTTATTTTTCAAATTTTCCACAGGGGACATGTGCTCATCAGAGGGAGAAAGAGAGAGGGAAAGGGAGAAAGCAAGCCACTAGGTCTAGGACTTAAAGTGCATTCAGCTGTGTGGAAGTCCAGCATCCCAACCATCGTGACACCTGCTGGCCCAGTATCTTTTTTTAGGTTTTTGTCATAGGGTGTGTGCACTTTCCAGAGAGAGACAGATAGAGAAGTGAGAAATTACCCCCCAGGGGAGATGGTCATGCCACAATCCCTTCTCCTCCATTCTCCTCTCCAGGCTTTGGGCACAAATGCACACACACACACACACACACACACACGGGCCTGGTGTGATTCTCAAGGTGCCCGGTCCGGGACTTGAACCATGGTTAGCCACATAGGAGTTCAGTGCCTTAATTACTATGCCCCTGCTGACCCCCTTAAGGATCATTTTTTTCCTAGGATTTTTTAAAGTTATTTGAAATAATTTTAACCTTTTAGTTCTCAGGTTTTGAAGCTTTTTGCTTTATTTCTACTGTGTAGGTTCTGGCAGAAGAGCTGACAACCAAGAGAGAGCAAGTCTCTGAGGCTATTAAAACTTCACAGATCTTCTTGGCCAAGCATGGTCATAAGTGAGTACTTAACGAAGGGTTATGGCACACCTGGGGACCCTGCTCTACCTGGCTAAGATGTACCGATGAGAATTTAGGCTGGAGAGTTCGGAGCAACAGCAGCTGGATTCTGAAGAGTCTTGTAGCCCACATAGGTTACGTTTTGCCTTGTCCGCCATGGGGCGGGGTTTTTAAGTATGACTAGACTTTGTTCAGGGTTGCTTTAACAGTTAAATAGTGAATGGTTGGGTGCATATGGTATAATAACAGAGGCTAATAAGCCGTGTAAGAGGCCATTCTGATAGTGTAGGCAAGAAATGATGAGAGATGGAGAGTGGGAAACCGAGACTCCGAGACATTAGGAATGATGGATCTGTGGGGTTGGGGACTCATGAAAATGACTGACTATAGGTCCTAGGCTCTGCTTTAGGCCTCTGGGTGAACGTTGATGCCAGTAGCTGAGACTAATAAAGGACAAAGCTGAAGTGTGTGAGGCTTTGGTTTTAGACATTGTGAAGGGGGAAAACCTGTAGGACATCAGAGTGGAAATACCGGGTCCATCGGGAAGGGATTCGCTGCGTGACTTCATGCCTTACGTAGTTCCCCCAGAGGGGTTCGATGGGCAGCTGCGTATGCGGGGCTCTCAGCCTGGGTAGTCTCAGGAGGAAAAGGAAGACTGTGTCATACCTCAGAACCCACAAGTAAGAGTTCCAGAAAGGAGGGAGTGGTCAGAAGTCAAGAAAAGTTGAGAATTGGCTATTGAATTTGGTAACTTCCAGGGACTGGTGAAAAGTTGGGGGAGGAGGGCAGGTTTAAAAGGAAGACCGCCTGAGGGTAGGACATGAGTGATCGTAAAATCGTACTACTCTTTCAAGAAGCTTGGCCGTCGGAATGGAAAGCGATCTAACAGCAGAGAAATCAAATTGAAGTGTATGATCTAGAAGTTTGGGTTTTTTAGCAGATGGGTGGGACTTAACTGTGAACTGAACCTCAAGCACAAAAGGGAGCAGATGGTAGGGGAGAGGATCCAGAGGATGTGAGAGAGGGTGAGTCTCATTGATGGATGGAAAGCACAACCTTAAACAGGAGTTGAGACAGCTTTTTCTGTGAGGCGTGAGGGAAAAGAGAGTAGGAAAGTGTGGCTAGAGGTAAACTTTTCAGGAGTGAGGCCAGAAACTGAGAGAATTAGTGTCTAGTGGTCTGTATTTCCCCTTGAATTAGGGAGCTGAAAGGGTGATGCTTCATGAAAAGGAAGAGAGGCTTGGTTAGGGACTTCTAAGAGTACTGTCAAGGCTGGCAGGTGGCATGGTGGTGATGGCATTGGACTCGCACGTGGTCAACTATGGTTCGAATCTTGGACCTGGCAGCTTGAAACTCATGCCAGGCACATGTGTGTTCATGCCCAAAATCCTGAGAGGAGAATGGAGAAAAGGACTGTGGCATGGCCATCCCCTGTGGGGGCTATTTCTTACTTTTTGTCTCTGTCTCTCTGGTGAGCACATGCATCCTATAGCAACCCCCCCTCCCCCCAAAAAAAAAAAAAGAATACTGTCAAATAGAGACCCAGTTGAGATTCGAAGCTAGAAGAACGTCTCTGCATGATTGTGGGATCTTTGTCATTTTTGTTGTTCTCACACGCATGATAAACTCAGTAGCTTGGATGTAGAAGCTGAGAATTCCCCTAGTTTGACTGATCTGGAGCTGAGATTATGCAAGATAACAGTAAAGTGGAGGGTGCAAGGATAATTGTAAAGAACTTAAGAGAAACTACGGGGGCTGGCCTCATAGCAGAGTGATTAAATTGTACATAAGATGTCTGATACCATATGGCCAACCATGGCTCACATCCCAGCCCTGGTGGCTTAAGAACACACCAGACACATGTGCATGCATGTCCCAAACCTTGATGGGTGGATGAAAAAGGATTATGGTGTGACCACACCTTGTTGGTGGTTGCCTTTTTTTCTCTTTGTCTCTACCTCTCTGTCGAGTGTGTGCACCCTTTAACCAAAACCAAAAACAAAAACCCAAGAAGATAGACTGTGGGGTCTGAACATTACAGTGAAGACAGTAGATGATGTTATACTGATAGAGTCAAAGAAAATGGAGGAGTCAGTGAAAGGGTAAGAACTCTCATTGAATTGATGGATAGTTCTCATATGAGTCAACATAGTTCATGTTCAGAAATAAAATATAGAATTAAAAAAGCTGTGAATGCCTCTGGTGGAATAGAGAAAGGAACAGATTTGGTGACAAACACCGAGTGAGTTTTAATTATGTTTGTAATATTTATTTTTTAAGGAATTATTTTAGGGACCAGCAGTTGGCGTAATGGCTATGTCGCTGGACTCCCATGTATTCGACCGTGGTTCGAGTCCCAGACCTGGTGGCTTGAACTCACGCTGGGCACATGTGTGTGCATGCCTAAGATCCTGAGAGGAGAATGGAAAAGAAGGGATCGCAGTGTGACCATCCCCTCAGGGGATGATTTCTCGTTTTCTGTCACTCTGTCTCTGTCTCTTTCTGGCGAGTGCACGCACTCTATAGCAAAAACCTCGCAAAGAAAAGAAAAAAAGGATTATTTTATTTAATGTTATTTATTTTATTTAGCGTTATTTATTTATTTATTTTAGTTTAGAACAGGGAGAGAGAGAAAGAGAGAGAGAGAAAATGAGAAAGCAAGCACCAGGTTCAGGACTTGCACCACTTTCTACCATGTGGGAGTCCAGCGGCCTTAACCACCACACCACCTGCCAGCCCCTGTAATGTCTTATTTCTTAGAAAAGAACCTAGAGTAAATATGATAAAATAGTAAAATTTGATACAGTTGAATAAGATACAGACAGGCAAATGAGAGTTTATTATATTCTTCTGTTTAAAATACTTCATTCCGGAGCCAACAGGTAGCATGGTTGTTAAGACACTGGATTCCCACATGCCCACCTTGGTTCGAGTCCCAGACCTAGCTGGTTAAAAATCATGCTGAACACATGTGCATTCATGCCCCAAATCCTGAGAGGAGTATGGAGGAGAAGGATTGCCGCATGGACACCTCCCTGGGGGGTGATTTCTCATTTTCCCTCTCTCTCCGTCTAGCACCTCCAAAAAAAATAAATAAATAAACAGGAAAAAAATATTTTATTTTAAAAGAGACTAGGAGTAAAGAAATATAAAACTGGAAGATAGGGGTATAATATGTCTCTAGTGGATTCTAGAAGTCCTTGGTTTTACAAGGAGAATCATCAGATGACGGTGGGATCCAGGTTTCAGGCTGAAGTGGTGAGGAGATCGTTTGCATTGAGAATGTTTTGGGACCACAAGCGTGGGGTAGCATAGCCTTTCATCACCAAGAGGCACAGCCTCACTGAGCGAGGCAGCACACAGATTCCTGTGTTATCAGTGAGCATGAAAGCTGGCCAGATAATCCATCCAAAGATTGAAGCAACAGGGGAGAGGTGGGAGAATTTATTTTTCCTAAGCGAGCTTTCGTGCTTGGTCTTCCAGGCTCTCAGAAACAGAGAAGGCACAGGTGAATGAACAGTTGAATGCCCTGAACAAGGCTTACCACGACCTCTGTGATGGTTCAGCCAACCAGCTTCAGCAGCTTCAGAGCCAGTTGGCTCAGCGGACAGAACAAAAGGTACTTTGGTTTTTACCTCCAGGTGCGGGGAGGGTACCTTCTGAGTGGTTTGACAGCAGCTTTGCTGGTTGAGAGTCGCAATCACTAGCTTCCCATGACCAATGTGATTTCATTTTTAACCTCACCTTAGCAGCCATTTGTCTCGTGTTTATTTACAGGGGTTCCATGATGTTTTGGTCAGTCAGAAACGCTACTAGGCACTTACGGCGAACCCTTTAGACCTGGTTCACCTTTGTTTTTGTTTTCTTTTTGCCATGTTGTGGCAGACCGCAGTCCAGACGAGCATAAATTATATATTATATCCGATCACAGAGCAGTAAGATTATTGTTTGTGGTGCTCTCATTGAGAGGTCGATAGCGAGTTCCTTGGGAAGGAAACGCTGTCCACCTCTTCATTCATACAGTAAACAGTATGCTTACTGTTTGTTTCTTAAGGAAACTAGTGTGTTAGTTTCACTGACTGAGACGCTGGTTCCCCTCACTCATAGTCATCCCATCATGTGATCTTTACCAGTTCCCACTTCATGTTCACATCCTGGACCGTATAAAAGTCATAATAGTTCCCACTGGTTGTCCGAAGTCCTTCGTGGGCACTTACGTGTGTGTGTGTGTGCACTTACCGTATTATGTACGTGTGTCTCTGGGGTGTGTGTGCGTGTTTGCCTGCTCACTTCCTATGTTGTGAAGCAATGGCCAGCTTCTGTGGGGCAGGTCCAAGTGGAAGCTCATGTGGGAACCAAATTTGGGCCAGATGGTACTCAAAACGATATTCAGACAGAAGTGCCCTGTCTCTGGCCGTTGGATATGAACTGTATGCAGCACGAGCTGGAGTTCTAAAGACCTCAAGATGGCACAGCTGTGACTCGATGGTGTATGTCCACAGAGAATGTGCTGGGGTAGCGTTCTCCGTAAGGCAACCCACTCCTAATGGCTTGTTGCTTCACCACATAAGGGAGTATGTAAAAAGTTTTAACAATCGCTTGCTGAGAACATCCCGTTCTCATTTTGGAAGGTAAAAAAAAAAAAGAGGGGGGGGTCAGAACAAAAGAAAGGCAGATGAGCTGCTGAGCACCACTACATTGAGCATGATGTGTCCCTGTACTGTTCGTGTGTTCCATGTGAAGTATTGTTCTGATTAACTGACATCCTTGCTTACAAGTTTCACTAACCCTTTGGAGTTTAAGCACAAATGCACAAAAGGGAAAAGAGGACGACCTGTCTGGGGTTCTTTTTTGCAAAAAAAAAAAAAAACAAAACAGTCGCATGCTGGACGCTAACACCAAGCTTACACTGTGTGTGTGATTCGGCTGAGCTGCTCCGTAAGGCTCTCTCTCTTATCTGCACAAGGCGTGCCCTGCAACTCCGGTAAGTAGAAGCCTTTTATGTTTTCTTTCCTCCTCTACCTCTGTCTCTTAATGATCGTTTTGGTCAGAATGTCCATGTTTGGAAGTCCTGAAATAGACTTTTCTGGATCACTTCCCAGCCCAGGGCTTCCTGCCCGTCCTCCAGTTATGCGGGTGTTGGAAGAAACAGCGTAGTCTTTTCCGCTTGGCTAAATTCCAGGTCTTTCTGCAGTGTCAGCGTTTCTGAGACTCCATGACTCTCACAGAAGCAATGAGTTCTCAAAAGAATCTTTTCTTTTTGATAATGTCTGCTTTTGAATAGTCTTTACAAAGATTTCTAGAAGGTTTTTTTTTTTTCCTTTTTCAGGTATCTCAGTCATACACTTTGTGTTGTTCCTTCAATGTGTGTGAAGTACACACGTGGTACATTCACATAACATTTGAGTATAACGTATACAGCATTAGCTCCATATTCTGGATGAAAACAAGGAGGGGATAACAGCAGTATAAATAGCGGGGAGAAATCTGGCAGTTACTCCATTATCAGTCGTAGATGGTGAGATGGAGTGTCCCCTCATTTGCTCTCCGTTCTGTATTCTTACAGCATAGAACTCATCACACTTGACATCCTGCACATGTTTTTAAAATCTAGGGGTGGGGAAATGGCTTAATGATTGTAAGGGTTTATTCAGTTATTCATCAAACGTTTGTGAACTGCAGGTCCTGTTCCTAGACACTGAATAGGCAAACTGTCTACTCCTGTGGGGTGTATTTGTAACTGAGATATAAATGAAATCCGCTTTTTAGGAGGCAGGAAAGTGATTGGCAGTTGCTTCAACAAGCTCCTCCCTCAATAAGTTAAAGAGTTATATAGGGACCAGAAAGTAACACTGACCTAAGAGGAGACAGATGAAATCGCCCCTAGAAAATAAAGACAATAAGGGGCCAGCAGGTGGTGTGGTGGTTAAGGGTGCTGGACTCCCACATGGCCGACCATGGTTTGAGTCCCGGACCGGAGGCCTGCTTTCTCATTTTCTCTCTCCCCCCCCGCCCCCGGTCAAATAAAAATAAAATAAAATAAAGTAAAATAAAATTCAATAAAATAATTTTTAAAAAGAATATCTTTAAATAAAAAAGAATAGGAAAAGAAAATAAAGACAATGAGCCTGAACAAGAAGAGCTGGAAAGCTGGAGAGTAATGGTGAGGAAGCGTTCTAAGTGATCAAACACTTGGATGATTTTAAATCGAAACACCATCCTTTGGCAAAAGGCTTCAAAATGGGACTTCTTTAAGAGTCATTTCTAGGACCTGTAAGGATGATTTTGGCGATGTGTAAGAGATGCCTGATCCATGACCTGAGGACCTAACTCTTAAGATGCGACTCTGTCGTACTTGTCTTCCATGCTCACCTGGGTCTCACTGGGATAATGGGTAACAGCAGTAGATTTAGAGTCACACATTGGCTTATTTCCAGAACTCAGTAGTTTTGTCACCTTGGACAAGTTGTTTAACCTTTCTGTGCCCCATTTCCTTGTCTGAAAACTAGAGATGAAAACAATTGTTTTCATAGGATTGTTGTAAGGATTACACATCAGCGCTCAGTTGATCCAATATTAAGTAATAGCTATAATGATTGCTGTTGTACTACCCATTTTAGCCCAGACCAGAAAGAAAGGTACCAGTGTTCCAGAAGCGATGGCCAGCCTTATCTTCCCTCCCTCATGTGCTACTTCCAAGTCCAGAGCTCATTTAATGCAGAGCCATTGCCTTGGGTGAACCAGCATGGGCCACCAGCTGTGTGACCGCTCCCCACTGCTGACACTATTTGAGTGTTGCACACACAGGTCCATTTACTGGGACACACAACTGTTCTGTGGCTGTTGGGCTGCTTAAATCTCTCTTCTCCTCCTATGGATCAGTCCTGTGTGCCCAACAGCAGGGAAGGGCTCGTTCCAGAGTCTTCTGCAAGGTTGCAATACTGAGAAGTTGTCATACGGGGTTGAGTTCTCACTGTTTGGAAACTGGTATGTGTCTGTAAAAACCTTTGTGATGGTTTAGTCTTACAAATAGCTATCCCCTCATTGTCACTGCTTGCCAATTTGTAGAGCTTGTCACTCAGATGGGCTTAATGCTACCACCCCTCAATATGTCAACTGCTTCTCTGTTAAACACCTCCAGTTTAGAAAAATTCTTTTTTAGCATTTACACTGCCAGGCTTGCTATAGAATACCTCCTACGTGTTGAGATTTACCCCAAACTGGGTGTTCGTCGCAGTCAGGGTTTTATATACTTTAGCTCTTTCAATGACTCCTTTCGATAATTGTGTATTACTGTTGGCTCTGATTTGGCTTTTCTTTTTCATTTTTTCTTTTAGGGTTGCAGAGCAGTTGCTGGGGTGATTGACCTAGGTACAGTGGAGATATTTCCCATCTTCAGAGCCATGCAAAAGGGCCTCATTGACCAAGACACAGGCCTGGTGCTCCTGGAATCCCAGGTTATTACGTCTGGCCTCATTGCCCCTGAGACCAGTGAAAAGCTCTCTTTGGAGGAGGGTGTAGCCAGAAACCTCATTAATTCTCAGATGTACCAGCAGCTCCAGGAGCTCCAGGATACCCTCTCCTTAATAAGCAGGGTTACTGAGAGCAAAGGCCCTCTTTCTGTGGTGGAAGCTATAGAAAAGAAAATAATCACTGAGAAAGTTGGACTGAAAATCTTAGAAGCTCATCTGGCAACTGGAGAGTTCGGTCTCTCCCCCAGTGAGAACTCTATTAACCTGGAAGAGGCTTTTCATCAAGGCCTCATTTCTGCATGGCTTCATTCAGTGTTAGCATCTCACCTGAGATCATCCAAGAATTTGATAGACCCCAACACAGCTGAGAAAATCAGTTTGCTGGATCTGATGCGGAGGTGTATTGTCCACCAGGAATCAGGGTTGAAGTTGCTCCCTGTCAAGCAATTGGCAGGAGGAATGGTGAGCTTAAAATCAGGCCGGAAGGTCAGCATTTTCCGTGCAGTTCAGGAAGGGTTAATAGATAGACAGGTCACCGTTCGGCTGCTGGAAGCTCAGCTCTTTGCTGGTGGCATAGTAGATCCAAGAACAGGACACAGACTGACAGTGGAAGAGGCAGTGAAACACAGTTTGATTGATCAGGATATGGCCTGTGCCATCCTCATACGGCAGCTGCAGACCGGCGGCATCGTAGACACGGCCACTGGGCACAGGCTGACAGTAGATGAAGCAGTGAGCCACGATCTAGTAGCTGCTAAGGTGGCCCTGGTGATTCTGGAGTCCCTCTGGTCCTTCATGGGGGTGCTGTGGCCTGAATCTGGAGAGATTCTCCCAATTACAGATGCTCTAGAACAAGGCCTTGTGTCTGCTGAACTAGCACATAAAATCCTTAGAAACCGAAAGCATATTAAGGCTCTATTTCTACCAGCAACCACAGAGATTTTGTCCTGGAAAAAGGCAACAGAAAATGGTATTTTGGACAAAGATCTTGCCACTCACTTAAAATCAGTATGTATTCCTGATGTTATGCCGCACATGCGATTAGCAGACTCGTCAGAACGAAAGAAGCCGAGCAGGGATCCTCGAGCCGCAGCTCTGCCACACAGCGAGGGCCAAACTGAGGGCCCCGCTAACCAGCGTGAGAAGCTGCTGTTCCAGCTGATGACTCACAGCTATGTGAATGTGCAGGATGGTCAGAGGCTGCTTCTGTTAGACGAAGAGCTGATGGAGACACTGACATCCAGAGGTGACATCCAGACAGGTCCTCCAGAAGTGACTGGAACTGGACCTCAGAAACTAGAAACTCCTGAGGAGCTGCAAGAATCAACAACTATGAAAACCACAGAAACTGTCTGTGATGGGTCGCACACGTTACGCTTTTCTTCTCCGGAAGCAGAGTATCACAATCGGAAAGATGGCACTGAAGCTGAAGGCAAAAAGACCACTGTAGAAAGAGAATGTTCTGCAGAGAATCCTGAGAAGGATCCGTGTGTAGAAAAACAGAAAGAAAGGCATCCAAATGTTGACACTTTGAAGGTCATAAATACAGTCAAGTCAGAGTTACGAAGACAGTTATTAGATACCAAAAAGGAAGCACAAACAGAAATGCTTGCCAGAGAAAATGTCAGCCGAGGACTCCTCCCAAGGGTACCTGCTCCTGAGGGAGCGGAGGGTGTGCCCCTGGTGGTCGACAGCAGAATTGTCTCTGTGCAAACACCAGAGGAAGAAGGGCATCTGCTAACACAGACCTCTTTCACATGTCAGAAAGAACAAGCAAACACTCCTGAGATGGCATATACTCCAGGTGAAACTGGAAGACCACCCATAAACTCCCAAAGCAAAAAGTCACAATTTCAGGTAGAGAAAACCCCAAGTTTAAAATCAGAACTAAAGTCTGGAAATAATACGAATACTTACCATCTGGACAAAAAGAAAGTGTTAACTAAGACATTTTTGTCTGGGGATGATAGTAAACAAAGCCAAGGTGGACAAAACATTGCAGATGGTAGTATGATGATGTCAGAAAAGACCAGTGAGGAAGATGAGGGTAGCGAACCATCCCTGTCGTGTAGTCTTCCTTCAGAACTGGCCGAAGAAGCTACCCTGAATACATTATCCGCACAGTTACTGGGTGGTGGCATTATTCATGAACAAACAGGTCAAAAGCTCTTACTAAATGAAGCGCTAGCCCAAGGCATTGTGCCCAGCCACACTGCGGTGAAACTGATGGCAAAGCTGGCGATGTTCCGCGGCTTCTTTGACTCTCAGACCTCAGAATCTTTGACAACTGAAGAAGTCATTGATGAAGGTCTGATGGATGAGAAGTTGCTGCACAACGTCCTCATGGCAGACAAAGCTATCAGCGGAGTCTTAGACCCCCGCACCCACACGCTGTGCTCCGTAAAGGATGCAGTTGCAGTTGGACTCCTTGACAAGGAAACAGCTACCAGAATTTTAGAGGGGCAGGTGGTGACGGGTGGAATTGTTGATCTGAAACGAGGAAAGAAACTTTCAGTAACTTTGGCCTCCAATCTTGGCTTGGTGGACAGCACTGACCAGACAGAGCTTATCAATCTGGAGAAAACTTCCAAAGGAAGAGATGCTGACGAAACAGTTAGGGAGAAGTTAATCAGTCTACAAATGGAAACGACAGGCCTTATGGATCCTGCCAGCAAAGCCCCTTTAACAGTTGTGCAGTCCATTGACAGAGGCCTTCTGGCGAGAGAGGAGGCCATTCGTTTATTGACTAAACAGGTGATTGATGGAGGTATCATTCATCATGTATCTGGAATAAGACTTTCAGTTGATAACGCCTTCAATCATGGCTGGATCAGTGAAGATTTAGCCAAGCAACTCAGAAAAGTTGAGAACTTAAACCACCATCAGTTTTTTCATCCTGAAACAAAGGACACTATTTCCCTTCCTGAAGCTATAAAATTAGATCTTGTTACTCCAGATCTGAAAAGAGAAATCCAAGAAATTCAGGCTTTTACTGGAAACTTTGTGGATCTCATTTCTGGCCAGAGATTGACCTTGGCAGAAGCTAAAAAGGAAGGACTGTCAACTAGGAAGACAGCATTGCCTTCAGAAATGATGCATGGGGTTGTAGACCCTGAGAATTACAGAATTGTTCCCTATTCAGAATTAGTAAAGAAATGTAAGATTGATATTGAATCTGGACAGAGATATCTAGAAGTAATTCCCTTTTCAGACATTAAAGATGAGGTGAGTGACAAAGTGCTTACATTGCCTCAAGCCGTTGAGCTCGGAAAAGTCGACTTTGCATCTACATTGAAAGTTCTAGAAGCTCAAGCAAATTCTGGTGGAATCATAGATACTAATACAGGAAAAAGACTGACGTTGGCATCGGCTTTGGAAAAGAAATTGGTGGATGAAAACATGGTCCGAATGATTGCATCTCATCAGGTCTCACATGGTGGAATTATTGACATTTTTAATGACCAGAGAGTGACCTTACAGGAAGCTGTTGAGAAGAGATTTATCAGTCCTGAGCTGATGACTGCAATCCAAGGTGATAGTAATCATCAGGCTCAGGTTGAAAAGCAAGGTGGAATCGAAGTATGTGAGTTCAAGAATGAATTTCTAAGAGAAGAAGTGTCCGTTGCTTGTAATCGGACCGCTGAAACGAGCTGCGATCAAGGAGACAGTGAGAGATTACTTCATATTGAAAGGCAGTCTGTACAAGAAAAGATTCAAGTGAGAGTTTGTGATGGGGAGAAGGCAGAAAAGGGCAGAGGAATTTCATTAAAGGAGTTGGAGGGTGAGGATCCAGACCAGCCAAGAGTTCCTCCAGATGCTGAGGAATCTGTTGGCACCACAGTTCCTAGTAATCTTAAAGGTAAACCTTTGGGCCAAGTTCCAGTGACACGTCCTTACTCAGGAGTTTGTGATCTAAAGCCCAAAGAGATAGCTAAACATAACATGAGAAAAAATACAAACAAAGAGCAGGAAAAAATAGCGACACAAATAGAAATTAGCTCTCATATGAAGCAGTCTCCCACAGGTCAAGATCCTAAAGAAATGAGAGAAAATCAAGGGGAAGTGATTTTGGAAGTGCAAGAATCAAATTATGAAACAGACAAGTTGTTGAGTCAGCAGATAATGCAGCAGCCAGTGACTATCAGGGTGAAAAGCCAGAGCGAGAAGAGAGAGATGATTGTAGAAGAATGCGTGAAAACATGCAAACCAGCAGTTCTTTCTGAAGACCAGTGGAAGCAGGGGAGTACCCTTGGAGATGAGCATGACTCCATTACGAAGTGTCACCCTGTGGAAATGAACATGAGGGAGAAAGGAAAAGAAGCTGATAGAGAGATGGGATTTTCTATTATTTGTAAAACTGAAGACCTTTCTTCCCAAAGGTTACCCAAAGGAGTAAGAAGTCAAGATGCCTTAACATTCTTTAGCTCTCAACAGGCCAGTGAAGGGGAAGTGAAGGACGTAAGCCTCTGCTTGAACTTAAAAACAGAAGAAAATACACCTGAAGAAGTCGCTGATAGGGCCCAGAGTGAAGTGTTCTCCTCTCTGACCCCAAGACCTGAAGGATTGCACGACCAGCAATCATTTGGAAAAGTCCAAGTTACAGACACAACCCAAGTTTCAGACAGGTCTTTGAAAGGAACCACCAGACAGGAAACCAGCTACTACCAAGATTCCTGTGTTACTCCCAAACACCTGGTTTTCTCATCTAGTGAATATAAAGAAAAGTCCCACCAAGAAGTACGTTTTGACTCACAAACAGCTCTTAAATTGGAAGAAATTGTAGTTTCTAGAGTAGATCCAAAAGAAGTTGGTTGTCTAGAATTCTCAGACAGAACAGACTTTCATCCTCAGGTTAACAAAACTGATGATGAACCTTGTGGAATTCTCAGGTCTAAAGTAGCAACAACTCAGGAACTGACTGGAGAACAGTTTCTAGAAATGGCAGACCCCATAGTTGCAGCTTCAGAAGGAAGGTCCCTTGAAGGTGTAGTGACTAAGAAAGGCCCCAGTGTCTTGGTATCCCTTCCTCCAGAGAAACTATTCAAAGACGTATCTCGAAAAGAGAGTACAGGGCAACAGGACACCATGGTTAGTCCCAGCGTTCTAGAGAACAGTGTAGAGAAGCCAGTGTCCCTCACATCGTCCTCCGCAGTGAAGACAGCCGGGAAGGCACCTCAGGAGAAGCTAAGGGACAACACAGACAGCGAACAGCCTTCCTTCACGACTGCACCCGGGGGAAAGGAAAGTGAAGGTGTGAGCCCAGAGCCCTTCAGAGCAACTCAAGTAAGTTTCCCTGTTATGTGCTAGCATTTTTTATAAAGCTATAACTAATACAATGCTGGAAACTTTAACGGATACAGAGTTTACATATAATTGTATGCTTATATACAATCTGTGTGGGGCACTCGATTCTAGTCTACAGCATGTGTTGGTAATGTAATTGTTAGGAAATTAGGCATTGACTCTGAATGACTTTCTGAAATATGGAAGAGTTTTAAATTAGGTACTGGGGCCAGTAGGTGGTATAGTGGTTAAGGTGCTGGACTCCCATCTGACTGACTGCGGTTTGAGTCCTGGACCTGGTGACTTGAAACTCATGCTGGGCCGCATGTGTGTGCATGTGCATGCCCAAAATCCCAAGAGGAGAATGGAGGAGAAGATCTTGTGGTGTAGCCATCCCCCCAGGGGGTGATTTTTCACTTTCTGTGTCTCTGGTAAGCACATGTACCCTATGGCAAAAATCTATAATAACAATAATAATAGCAAATAAATAAATTACAAGCCAACCTCAGAGGGCCATCTGGTGGTTTGGTGCTCAATGCAGCTGGATCCTAAAAAGCTAATCGTGAGGTTTGAGTCCCAGACCCAGGGGCTTGAAAACCATGCCAGGCACATATAAGTGCATGCCCAGAATCCTGAGAGGTGGAAGAAGTAGAGACGGGATTGTGACATGACCAACCCCCATGGAGGGGAGGTGCTTTCTCTTTCTTTCTCTCTCACACCCACTTACACACACACACACACACACACACACACACACACACACATACACAAACAGCCTCTCTGGCAAGCACATGCATCTTTCAGTAAATTACAAAAAAAGAGAGAAGAAAGAAAGAAAGATACAGATAAACTAACATTGGGACTAATTTGAAATACTGACATGTTATTTGAAATCAGAATAACTTTTGGAATTTTGCTAAAATAATTCGTATAGACTGATCATTACAAGCTTCTGTTCTCTGAGGAAATGAATAAAATCACTTGTTGCTTTGAAATTACTTAGACAGAGTAGCATGATTTACTTCCTTCTACCCTGTGTGTAGTAAACATTGCTTCTTTTTGTCTGTTTAACAAGAAACCCCGCCTACTTGAAAAGCTGACTTAAAGGAGGAGGTCAGAAATCAGTGAATTTTTTTTTTGCCCCGACAGAATGTATTTAACCGGCAACTCTGTTTAGAGCACGATGAGAAGATAGTGTCCTATCTGTCCCTGCTACGGGACATTGAAATGAGGACCAGACAGATTCAGCCTCTGGAGCTAACCCTGGCCGAACTGCAGGATCTCCTGTGCCAGGCAAAGGTAGGTGCCCACCAACCTCCATGACACCCACTGTTGTCAGGATGGCTGCTGCCATCTCCCACGAAGATTTCCAGGCTTAACGTGACCTGCTTGGCACTCCTTCCAGAGTAAACAACCTCAGGCTTTGTCAGATCATTGCGGGACGGGCAGGTTTGGCAGACTGGGCGAGAGCCGTAACAGACAAACCTGAAGAGACCTTGGGCGGACTTGGCTGTAACCCCGATCGACACTGTTTGTTCCCTGTGTGATCTCAGATTGAATGAGAGAGGAGTTAAGAGGCAGAGTGACTGGTTAGCAAACTTTTGCAAAATTCAAGAAATTTTGAGGGTTTAAAATGGCAGGCTAGATATAGAATTTAACCTCATTTTCTTTTAAAAAAGAATTAGTTATTTAATTTTATTATTATTATTATTATTTTAATTTGCTATACGGCATGTAGGCTCACCAGAGAGAGATTAAAAAAAGAGGGAAAGTGAGAAAGCAAGTGGCCAGGTATGGGATTTGAATCACGGCTGGCCATGTGGGGGTCCAGTACCTTAACCACTATTCCACCAGCTGGCCCCAATAAAACTTTCCAAAACTCTACTGAGATATCAGGAAAAAGGCTTTCTCTTTTTTTTAATAATCACCTTGCTTTACACATTATTTTCCTTCCTTTTTTTCTTTTTCTAAAGTGACTTTTTTAAAAAAAACTTAATTTATATTTATTCATTTATTTCAATTTGACCTGAGAGGGACAGAGTGAGAGAAAGGGAAAAAAAGTGAGAAAGCAAGCTGCCAGGTCAGGACTCAAATTGCGGTCAACCATGTGGGACTTTAGTGCCCTTAACCACCATGGCACCTGCCAGCCCCAGGAAAAAGTGTTTTTAAAAAATGTATAAACTTGGGACCAGCAGTTGGCATAATGGCTATGTCGCTGGACTCCCACATAGTCGACTACAGTTCAAGTCCTGCGGTCCAGCCAGTGGCTTAAACTTGTGCCGGGTGCGTGTGCGTGCGTGCCCAAGATCCTGAGAGGAGAATGGAGGAGAAGGGATTGGGGCAGGGCCATCCCCCCTGGGGGGTGATTTCTCGCTTTCTATCTCTGTCTTTCTGGCGAACGCCCATGCCCTATAGCAAAAATCTCTCCAAAAAAAGAGTATAAACTTACAAAAGAAAAGAGAACAGAGGGTTAGAGTTGTGACAGAATGGTAGTACGGTGTGCTGCCATCCTGGACCTCCATGGAAAGATCCCAGGTTCGTGTCCCGAAGGCTCCCTGTGTCCCAGGTGTGTGCTGTATGTTCCCAAGATTTGGGCCCATTGTGCTGTGAAGACCCTGTTAGGGATGCCTTTATCTCCTTCCTCACCTTTCTCTCTCTGTCTCATGGAAGAAATAAATACATTTTAAAAGAGAGAAAGAACAGGGGAGGAGAAACCTAGTAAAATTTTAGAAAGAAAATGGATGAGGAGGTATCTTCCTTAGCAGACTAGAGAAAACTGAATTCTAAATTTCCAATAGAGGAACAGCCCAATTTACATTTCAGAACTCCCAAAGCCTCAAAAATTGTTAGCACCAGAAAGCAGAGATGAAAGTGTATATATAAAGAGAAAGGGAACTAGTTTAAAGTCTATTTAAGAAGTATTAGACTTGAGACCAGCAGATGATGTAATGGTTACATCGCTGGACTCCCACGTGGTCAACTACGGTTCAAGTCCTGGACCCAGTGGCTTAAAACTCACACCTGGTGCGTGTGCGTGTGTGCCCAAGATCCCAAGAGGAGAATGGAGGAGAAGGGATTGTGGCGTGGCCATCCCCCTGGGGAGTGATATCTCACTTTCTGTCTTTCTAGTGAGTGCATGTGTCCTGTAGCAAAAATCTCTCTTCTAAAAATAAAAAAAAGAATCATGAGCACCTTCAGATTTCCAACTCTTATCCAGGCAAGGGCTAACGTCTTACTCTAAAAGACAGTGCACCCTCTAAGGAAAGCAGTACAGATCACCATGGGTGGGTTAGGTTTGTGCAGCCTGAACAAGACAGCAAGATTTCCAGTCTCGATTTTGGAGGTGACTCCACTCTCTGCCCTCAGATATTAGACAAGGAGCTAAAGGATCTGTCCACCGTGGTGAGTCAGGAACTGGAGTGTGTGGATCAGATTATCATCAGCCAGCCTCAGGAAGTCCCTGCTCAACTGTTGAAGGCTCTGGAGAAGGATGCCAAGAATCTTCAGAAGTCTCTCAGCTCTGTGAGTGACTCCTGGAGTTCCAGACTGCTGCACCTTCAGAATGCTGTGGAAGGGACAAAGGTAGCGTCCTGTCTTCACTCATGAAGGTTCTCAGAAGTCTTCGTAGGCTTGGCGGTTTTATAATCCAGGTTGCCTTTACGTTTCAGGCTAGAGTGTTAAACCAGCATACGCTGCTGGAAGGCGAACTCCAAGACCTGAGAGCCTGGGCCGGCAGTGTCAGCCTCGCCCTGAGCAGCCCCGGCTTCGGCAGTGAGACGGACGTCACAAGCCTGAATCGTCAACTGCAGCAGTATGAGGTAGACTCTCCACCCATTCTCAGATGCCTTTTACCATGTCTCTGGAGCTTCAGTGAGAGAGAGTCTACAGAATGACTTGTTATTTTCAATTTTATCTTTTTATAACTAGCATCTAGGAATTGTCCCTTTTTTTCTTTCTTACTCAAAATCTAATCCTACATGTATACACACACACACCAATTTTAGGAGAAATGTTGATGATCAACGATTTAGAGCATGAGTTGGTTTAACAACCCTCTAGTACAGAGAGATGTCTCTCTCCTTCGACACCTCAGAAAGTCAGGGCAGAACTAGAAACGCCCCCTCCTTCTGTTCTGTTCTCTCCCTTTCCCCCAATAGAAAGAGAGTAGAAATAGGGCTGGCAGGTGGCATATGGTGGTTAAAGCGCTGGTCTCCCATATGGCCTACCATGGTTTGAGTCCTGAGTCTGATGGCTTAAAACTCATGCTGGGCACATGTGCATGAGTGCCCTACATCCCAAGTGCAGTATGGAGAAGGGACTGCAGTGTGGCCATCTTCCCTGGGGGGTGATATCTCACTTTCTGTCTCTCTGTTTCTCTCTGTGTCTCCGGGAGGGCACACATCCTATAGCAAAAGTCTCTCTAAATAAAGAGAGCGAGCGAGCAGACATGAGTTTGTCCACAGTGAACCTTATAACCAACTCATCCTTCCTTGTCTTGTAAGAGTTGACCTGCCTCCCTCTTTCATATCCTTTATCTAAAGATATAATTGAGGAGGTGCCCAGTAGGTGACATGGTGGTTAAGGTGTTGGACTCCCACATGGCTGACTACAGTTCAAGTTCTAGACCTGAGGTTTGATTCTCACGCCTCCCTGCCCCCGTCTCTCTCGTCAAATTACAATAAATAAATTACTTAATTTAATTAAACAAATAGTTCTTTTTTAAAAAAGATATAATTGGAGAGAGAGTAGCAGGCTACCTCTTCCCTAAGATGTAAAAAAGCAAGTGCGAGCAACATTCCTGTCACATAAGTGAAATACAAAAGAGAACATTGCATGCATCCCTGTCCTTCCTACTAGTCACTTACATGGATTCTTTTCTAGCAAGGAGTAAACAGTCTAAGCCTGGTTTTTGTAAGATATTTTCCTAAGCTCATGAATTCACAGAGGAAGGAAGTTCTAGCTTATGATAATATTCAAGAAGCCTTCTTTGCCTGCCTTGCAGGGTGGGTTACAAACTGTCCTCAGGTTCAAAGTGGTAGGGAGGTAGATATCCTAAATGCTTTTACGGCATCCAGTGTGACGTAACTGATGGTCACCAAATGGTTTTGGAAAAGCGCATGCTTTTAATTGTCTGAAAACAAATGATTTTAGTGTTTTGAACAGTTTTTACTATTTTAAGGGAGAATCTGACTAACATGTAAGCAAGTATGACCGTAGTCCTATAAAGATTAAAATGTATGAACAAAATTGTTTACTTAAAAAATAAAATTTTAGTGAGCCATAATACATTATATATTTCTTTGTACTGGCCTGTCAGTATTAAACAAATAGAAATGATATTCGTACCTAAGGAAATGAAGTTGAACAGATACAGGTTCATCTCACACTGGAAATTTATGCTGTACTTGCCAAACATTTTTTTTGGGGGGGGCGGATTTTTGCTATAAGACACACATTCTCACGAGAGGGACAGAAAGTGAGAAATCACACACCCATACCGTAATCCCTTCTCCATTCTTCTCTTGGGATTCTGGGCATGGACGTACGTGCTTGTCATGTATTTTAAACCACCGGTCTGGGACTCAAACCACAGTCAACTATGTTGGAGTCCAGCGACATAACCATTACGCTATCTGGTGCTCCACTTTCCCAAACTTTTTAAACAAATATTTACAGATATTATTGATTAGCATTGGTATAATTCTTTTAGCATGCATAATTGAAAGCTTCCTGCATTTAGAAATGAAGACCTGGTTAAAAAAAATAATAACTTAATTGTAATTTATGTGAATTTTGGAGAGACCCAAAATGAGAGTCTTTGGGTGCTAATTTGGCCCTCGAGTCATCGATACTATTTAAAAAATACAGGAAACTAGCCTCTCTGATTCTGTCAGTTCTTCGATTAGGAGCAACAGCTTCTCGTGGATAGAGAAATACAAGGTTCGTGTCTTTCTGTTTTTCTCCATCCCTACTTACCTTAGGACTTGAAGCTGCCCTTGGCTGAGAGGAGATCGCAGCTAGATGCTCTTGCTTACGACACTCAGGTCTTCCTCTCTGAGCATGCCCAGCACTTGTCCCCGCAGCAGAACCGACAGATGCTAAGCCTTCTAAACGAGCTGCAGAGGTCCTTCCAGGGCCTTGCAGAGCGGACCGCAGCTCAGACCGATGCCTTGCAGGGCCGTCTTCAACAAATGGAGCAGGAGGTCCAGGTCAAGGTCAGACTGAACCAGCAGCTGGGCTCGGCTTGTCTTAGGGGGCGTCCTCTGTCTCTGACTTTCTGGCCAGACTCCGTGTATCATGATTCCACGAGCCTGAGTTTGCCAGTTTTGAAATTTCCTGTCATTCAGGCCAGTACAGTTCTGGTCCGGGAGGCAGCTGTGATGGCTGTTTTTCTTGCCATGTTTTTGATGTGTGTGTGTGAAAAAAGGGTATGTGTTTCCATGTGTGTGCATGTGCAGGCGTTTTCTCTCACTGAGACCTCACGCTCACCGTGTCTCATCATCTCTGACTTTCAAATGAAAATCGCACACCTGGTCCTGCCTTTCTTTTCTCCCCCAGCCTTCTTCTGAGGGCTGGTAAGAACAGGGAGACTTTCTAAGTTCTTATGAAGAATGGTTCTAAGACCAATTTTCATCCTGGGACTTTTCAAATACTAAGATTCCTTGACAGTCTTCAAATAGCTGACAAGCGAGTTTTTATCAGAATTGTACTCACTTTTTAGTACCTTTGAAATGATTGTATTCTAACGCTTTTCTTCACACTGTAGTTCCCAGTGTCTAGTCACCCATGGAAAAAATCTGTAGAGGCAAGGGTGAAGCCTTGAAAGAAAACTAATAACCATTCTACCATCTATCATTACAACCCTTGTCTTTTTCTCCCAAAGAATTTATTTATTTATTTTTTATTTATTTATTTTTTTTGGAGAGATTTTCACTGTAGGGCGCGTGCGCTCGCCAGACAGACAGAGAGAGACATAGAGACAGAAAGCGAGAAATCACCCCCCAGGGGGGATGGTCACGCCGCAATCCCTTCTCCCCCATTCTCCTCTCGGGATCTTGGGCACGCACGCACACACGCCCAGCGTGAGTTTTAAGCCACCGGGTCCGGGACACGAACCGCGGTCGACTACGTGGGAGTCCAGCGACATAGCCATGACGCTAACTGCTGGTTCCCCCCAAAGAATTTATTTAATTTTATTAATTATTATTATTTTTAACTTGCTGTAGGGCATGCACACTCACCAGAGAGGGACAGACTAAGAGAGAGAGAGAGAGAGAGAGAGAAAGTGAGGAAGCCAGCCTCCGGGTCCAGGACTCCAACTGCAAACAGCCACGTAGGAGTCCAGCGCCTTAGCCACCACGGCACCTGCTGGCTCCCACAGCCCTTTTCTTACAAAGCTCAGCGTATGAGCCAGCTGGTAGCACAGTGGTTAAGGCAGCCAGCTCTCACCTGGCTGGCCGGGCATGTGTACATGCCTGTCCAAAGTTCTAAAAGGAGGAAGAAATGGAGGAGAAGGGATTGCAGCGTAACCATCCCACGGAGAATGCTTTCTCCCTTTCTCTTCCTTTCTCTCTCCCTCTGTTCTCTCTGTGGAGCACACGTGCCTCTAGCAAATAAAAAAAAAAAAAACTCAATATAATTGCATTAATAGCCACAACATAACCTCGGAATACCTAGACTTATCTATGCCATTTCTTCTGTTCAGATGATAATTTGGCACATAGCAAAATGATATTAAAATTGTCTTTATTATCATTAGCAGATCTGTCTCAGAGGTTCCTCCATTAAATGTTGTGCAAAGCATAATTGAACTTTCCAATTAGACATAGAGAATACTAGGTTAGTCAGTGCCGTATTTCTTCCACTGCTACTTAGTTGTATTGAAATTCAAAGACAGTACTCACAAAACACGTTAGGTTACTTCCAAATCTGAACACTTACCATGTCCTCACCTAGGGATCTTTATGCCCCAGTATAACCTGTGGGTAATGAAGCAGCACTGGGCTGGGCCACTTTAAGAGCCGGCCCAGATTTGGTCGGGGATAGAACTGCATGTGAACGTTCTCTGTGAGCACGTAATTAATTCCACAGTATTTATTAACCTTGTTATTGTCAGAAATGCTCTGCCTTCTCTCTATATTGCCCTGAATGTGTGTGTATGTCTGTGCGTTAACTTGTTTGCTTTGCTTTTTTCAGATTCAGTCTGCACTCATCCTAACCCATGAAGATGCTGTTTTACAACTGAAGAGCTCTTAGGGGTTCTCTTCCAGAGCCCTTCTATTTGTCCTAAAGAGGGGGAGAGGGCAAATTTGGGCACCTGTTTGTAAGTGCAGGTGATTAAAATACCATCAGAAGGTAGCAGCCGGTTTTAGAAGGCTGGTCAGGAGAACACATCATGCTCAATTGCTCAGGCAGGTGCTTCATTGTCATGCAAATGAGGTGAGATCTGGAAACCGGATCAGGCACAGAAACATATTCCCTTCTCCCCTTGGGCCTCGCTGTTCCCTTCGCTATCAGTGTGGGGACCTAAAGGACTGAGCCAGTTTCTATTCTTGGTCAGTTTCCTTCTCAAAATAGCCAAATTTAGGTCCTCGGGCCTGACATAGAATCATTCTGTTTGATAGGTCTCTGTATTTGTGACAGGTCTGATTTATACAGTCAGCTCAATTATTAAGAAGCTCAGTTAGCTTATGGAATACCCAGGTCCTCTATACTTCTTTCTCCTGCTTTTCTGTACTTGGACTGGATGCGCAGCAAATCCTCTGCCTCTGGTGGAGGGATTTATTACCATCGCCATTATCACGTATGGATTTTACACGCTGGAGCTCTCCGATCTCAGTTTCCAAAGATAACAGCAGTCTGGCAAAGGAGCTCCCAGCCAAAAGCTGAATGAGAGCATCTCTCCTGAAACGACTTCTGATTATCACCCAGATCATCAGACTGTCCAAGTGACGGGAGCTTTCCGAATATGATTCCTGTGCCTTTTCCTAGTCTAGTCTCCTACCAACTTTGCCATCTTTGAGATATAACCTCCTGTTTTACATTTCACAGAGTTCTTTTGCATTCATAAAATGAGAATTATTAAGTATCTCTTGACCTCTTTGCATTTTAATTAGACCCTGCAAAAACAACAAATTACCTGTCACCAGAAGCTGGAGGATCTTTGTAACTGGGTAGACGAGGCGGAAAGAACGCTGGGGGCCCACCAGGGCAGAGCTGCTCAGCAGGATCTCTCTGCTTTGCAGAAGAACCAAAGTGACTTGAAGGTCAGTTTGAGTGAATCCGTCTTTTCATTCCTTCAAGAAATATCATAAAGGCTTGCCGTGTGCCAGGCGTGGTGCTTAGTGCAGCCGTGAACAGACTCCATCCTTTCCTCATGAAGCTCGCAGTCCAGTGTGGGAGACAGACATTATTACATAGATTATCACACAAATGAGCACCAGTACATTAACTGTTATATCTCTGAGGGAAAAGTTATATGGCAACTTATACCGGAGAGACCCAGTCGAGCCTAGGATTTCAGAAGATTGCCTTGAAAGAAGTGTCACATTAACTGAGAAATGAAAGATATATAGGGATTAACTCATGAAGGAATGGGAGGAAAATATATCAAGCAGAGGCTTAAACATCGGTCTTGAAGTTGAAATGGGATCTTGCGTGTGCGTGTGTGCGCACACACACACACACACACACACACACACTAATTCATCTGTACTGCAGTAAAAACAAGAGGAAGGTTAGTGGAAGGTGAAGTTGCAGAGGTAGGCGGAACCCTTATGCTGAACTTTGTAAAGCCAGATTAAGGGTGAGGACCGATAACCGAAAAGCATAGAAGAGCAACAGGCCTCAGCTCTAAGGAAAGGGTGATCTCTCTGAGTATAACCCACTGTAAAACAAAGATTTCTGCTGTTCATCATGTTTACGGACAATGTTCTTTTTTATCTTTACTAGATATTAGCTTAGAAAATTATATATTTTTTCATTCCTTGCATTGGTTTAAGCCTAAAACTTAAGCAAATTAGAGTCAGGGGCTGTATGCAGATACGTCATCCTAGCCATTTCATTTTTGCCCTGTTGGGAGACTTAGTATTAAAGTTGAAGACTCGGCTATCTCTGTTTCTCTGTGTTAAGGATTTACAGGATGACATTCAGAATCATGCCACCTCATTTGCTACTGTGGTCAAAGACATTGAGGGGTTCCTGGAAGAGAACCAGACCAAACTGAGCCCCCATGAGTTGTCAGCTCTTCGGGAAAAGCTCCATAAGGCTAAGGAGCAGTATGAGGCTCTCCAGGAACGCACACGGGCAGCCCAGAAGGAGCTGGAGGAAGCAGTGGCCTTAGCCTTGCAGCAGGAGACTGAAAAGGTAACCAGTCTGCTTTGATACTTATTACCTACACAAACAGCAGCTAATAGGAGGGAACTGCTTTACAGAGAACATGGAATCAAAAAGAAAAAGGTTGCTTCAGATATTGGTCTGTGAGTCGATCTTTTTTTTTTTTTAAAGAGATTTTTGCTATAGAGCACATTTGCTCGCTAGAGAAACATTGAGATAAAGTGAGAAATCACCCCCCCGGGGTGATGGCCACGCCACAATCCCTTCTCCTCTTGGGATCTTGGACATGCACACACTCGTGCCCGGTGTGAGTTTTAAGCTGCTGGGTCTGGGATTCAAACCATGGTCAGCTACGTGGGAGTCCAGCAAAATAACCATTACTCTATGTGCTGGTCCCAAGTCGATCTTTATTTTTACAAGAGACATCCAGAATGGTTTTAAGTAAGCAATAGTTGGTAGGAAGTGTATATTACAAAAACGGGCAAACAAAACTTGCCATCTGTACACTCAGTACTCTGGCTAATCAAAAAGTGTCAGAAAAAGGACCAGCAGATGGCATAATGGTTGCGTCGTTGGACTCTCACATGACCGATCGCAGTTCAAGTCCTGGGCCCAGAGGCTTGAAATTCACACGGGGTACATATGCGTAGATGCCCAAAATCCCGAGAGGAGAATGGAGGAGAAGGGATTGCAATGTGGCCATTCCCCCCTGGGACTTGGTTTCTTGCTTTCTGTCTCTCTCTGTCTCTCTCTCTAGCACATAAGCCTTATAGCAAGAATCTCTTCATAAAAAAGAAAAGTGTCAGAAAGAACTTAGTGATGGTCCAGCTCTATGGAGTAGTGGTAAAGTGCTTCTCAAGGAAGCTAAGTCCCACATGGCAACCACAATTCCAGTCCCCAGTCCGATCAACTTGAAACGTGCTGGGCACACAGGCGAGTGCCTGACACTGACAGGCTGGGGACTGGAGGAAGAGGATCATGGCGTGGCTGGACCCTGTGGAGGGTGCGCTTCCCTCTGTGTTTCTCCCTGTTTCCCGCTCCTGTGTGTACATGCGCATGCTCTATATAAATAAGAGAACGAAAAAGGACTTAGCAAGGATGTTATTCTGGGGAGGAAAAGGCAAATGTAGATGGATTTGGAAATGCATGACTGTGTAACTTGGCATAACCCATTTAATTAACTGAAATGCTTCAAGAGCCAGTAAATAGAATGCGAGAGGCAAGTTTAAAAACTAAATGTTCTAGGGATCAGTGGGTGGGTGGTGTGGTGGTTTAGGCGCTGGACACTCTCCACATGGCCAACTACAATTCAAGTCCCGGACCTGGTGGCTTGCTTTCTCACCTTCTCTCTCTCTTTCTCGCTCTCTCTCTTGCTCTCTCTCTGTGTCTCTCTCTGGTCAAATTAAAAATAAATGAATGAATAAATCTTTTTAAAAAAAAAGAACTAAATGTTCTAGAAGACGGAGTAAAGGATGAGAAAAGCCTGTCTTTCCCTTGGGGGGACAGGAGCCAGATAGTTGAATGTGACTGTGCTGCTTCTTATTCCACCAAGCCAGTGCATCAGCTCCGTGCAGCCAGAAAACAATGCACAAAGCCTTGCTACAGTGGCAGGGGTAAATGGTCTCTGAATAAAGTCCTTTTAAATCCTGGGATTTGCTCTTTTTCTCTCTCTCTTTTTTATTTTTTTTAAGCAGTGAGGTATAGATGAAATCTGAAGATTGTCTTAAATAATTATTTTCAACAGACACTGTTCTTTTTTGTATGTTTAAGCCTAGTCATAGAGCTTCTCTTTCTTGAACGTAACACACCCCTTCCTTTACCCAGTGTGTGGTTGCAGTCGAATATGTAAGGCCTTCTCACTAGAAAGCCCCTGTGCCTTTCAGAGTAAAGCGGCGAAGGAGCTGGCAGAGAACAGGAGCAAGATTGATGCCCTCTTGGATTGGGTGGCTTCAGTGGGATCGTCTGGTGCACAGCTACAGACCAGCCTTCCAGGAAAGGAGCTGCCCTCAGGGGCCAGCGTGGAGAAAGGAGCCTTCGATACCACTGACGGTCGGACGGGCGTGAACCAAGCCGCCGAGCAACTGGACCTGCAGTGTGAGAAGACGAGGGTGAGGAAGTTAGCATGTCCCCACTGTACTGAAGCATGCCTTTGCCCTGGGCATGTCGCCACAGCTGCCCTGCCCGAGTCCAGGGAGCGTGCCTCAGTTTGTGCCTTCGATGTCTCGGCAGGGTCAACACTGTTGGCCCCTCCTCTCGAAATGTTTTCTCCCTTGTTTCCATAGCACTGCTCTGCTTTGCTCATCCTCCGCCTTCCCCCACCAGCTTTTGTGACATTGCTGTGCTTCCAGTCCTATCTGAGGTCATCTTGTCACCTTGCAGGGTGCACTTTCCTCGGGTAGTCTCATCCACTCACAGCACTTCGATCACAGGTTGAGCATCCCTAACCTGAAGATTAAAAATTCGAAATGCTCTGAAATCCTGGCCAGGTAGCAGCTCCATCCCAGGAAGGAGCCCGCCCTCCTCACAGGTGGTTGGTTAGAACCTGGGCGTATTCAGACCGAGCCTAGTGCTCTGCCTCCCGTCTCTCCGAGTAGGGTGTATCTGCCGTCCCAGCTTTCCTGAGGAGATGGGGAAGCTCAGGCTGTCAGGTGGCTATTGATACAGGATGAAACTGCACAATTTTCTGAAAAAGAGAAGGCTGTCGTCCTTCTCTAGGTAGTCATAAAAGCAGTGCAGGCAGTCAGAAACGCTGACCAAACTCCATTCCTCAGTTCTACTAGACTGAGAAGACCATTTCAAAATAGAGCATGAACTCACAACTGTCCTTAAAGAATTCTTATTCCATTGTAATAGAATGTAGGTCCCCCCATAAACACGTCAAAGGCACATGCAGATAAAAAAAGTACAAGTTACTCGTACTACGGAGCAGGAGAGCTTACCCTCTACTCAGTGAATTCACCTTCAAGTCAGTCCTCACGGACGCTGCGTGGGCTTCCACAGCTACGTACCTGCGGTTTGTCATACGTACGCGGGTCCAGCTGCCCACGTTGAGAGTTGATGGTTGGCCTTGTGCAGTCTCTTACACTCGGGATGTTTTCGTGAAAGTTGTCAGTGTCTCGCGATAGCTCTGTCCCGTAGCTGTCCGCATGACCTGAGTCAGATCGCATCTTTCTAGTACCCACGTTTCTCCCCTTCAGTGTGGGTGTTAGATCGTGTCCCGAATTGCAAAGCGCCCAGATGAGGTGAGCTCAGATGTAAAGTCCCACCAGCTGAGAACTGTGGTGCTCGTAGTGCTAGCTCAGCCGAGTTTAGCATGTGGCACACTGCTCGGGGTGGGAGATCCTGGTGATTTCGGAGCAGCCGGCAAAGCAGCCTATCGAGGTCAGGTTGGGGACCTCCATTTACCTGTAGCTGCACACATAAGCAAATGCCGGTGGATTCCCTACTCACTCTACTTTGTTTGGGGGTTATTTACCAGGCCCATCACCAAGAACTGCTGTCCCAGCAGCAAAATTTCATCCTGGCCACCCAGTCAGCTCAGACCTTCCTGGACCAGCATGGCCATAATCTTACTCCGGAGGAACACCAGAAGCTGCAAGAGAAGCTGGGAGAGCTTAAGGAGCAATACGCCGGCTCGCTGGCCCAGTCAGAGGCAGAACTGAAGCGCGTGCAGACGCTCCGGGATGAGCTGCAGAAATTTCTGCAGGATCATGGAGAGTTTGAAAGCTGGCTGGAACGGTCTGAGAAAGAGCTCGAGAGCATGCACAAGGGAGACAGCAGCCCCGAAGCCCTTCCTTCCCTTATGAAGCGGCAGGGAAGCTTCTCGGAGGATGTCATTTCCCACAAAGGAGATTTGAGATTTGTCACTATCTCGGGACAGAAAGTGCTGGACACGGAAAACAGCCTAGAGGAAGGCAAAGAACCATCAGCCACTGGGAACTTAGTGAAGGACAAGCTGAAGGATGCGACCGAGAGATACACGGCTCTCCATTCAAAGGTGAGGGGAGGGTCTTGGTGGCCTCTGGTGAAGCAGTCATGGCAGCTTTCACACGACTGTGGTTGGTTTGGGGCTCAGAATAAAAACCTCAGAGGCGAGTTTGTGGTAGGTAGTCAAGGCAGCTGGATCCTACATGCCACCACGCAGTTCCGGTCTCAGACCTGGTTTGGAAAACATGCCAGGTGCATGCGCGTGTGTGCCCGCCCAAAAATCCAAAAGGAGGGAGAAGTAGAAAAAGTGACTGAGCACGACCGCGCCCCCCGGAGGGCGCTTTCTCACTTTCCCCCTCGCTCTGTCTTTCTGGCACGTGCACATGCCCTCTGGCAAAAAGAAAATTAAAAAATATTTTTTAAATAAAAAAGAAATAAATACCTCAGGAGATAGGGCAGGCTGACTTATATCTTGACTACAGGCAGAAAGTCTTTGTGAATTATGCAAAATATGCAAAACGTACAGGGCCACAGGCAAATGCCTGATCCTGGGAGCGTGGGGTAAACGCCTCACGGTGATGGCGAAGGCAGAGGCTCGCACCTTCTCGTACCTATGTTTTTAGATGCCACAGCATATGTGTGTGTTCCAGAGAGTAGGGAATGGGAAAGCACATGCCAGTGGGGCCTCGTACGCCAGTCTGTGTCCTCTGTCTGTTCATTCCATGTGTCCCTCCCTATCTGAGGAACTCCCCTTTTCTCCTAAAGTATAGAACCCAGCCAAGTTTTTCTTACCTTAGGCTTTTCCTTTTAAGTCTCTGTGTTTTCCGCCAACATCTCTAACTCCCTACAAAGAGACACTTCTGTGCCCTTAGTCCGTACCTTTGCCTGCAATGTGATATTTCTTTGGTGGCTTCTTGTGCAGCTCACTCCCTCTTCCTGGGTACATGGAAGGTTAGGTGTATAGTTTGGAGCCAACAGGAAGGACCCTGCTTGTGGATGATTGTACTTTGTCAGCCCCTGGGTTCCTGGCATTACCCTTACCTGAAGTTACAGAGCTTTCTGTAACAAAGCCAGGCATCTTTCTTTGGGCTATGCCCAGGAAACTGCTGCCTCTGCTCAGCCTTTGCTCAGGTCTGCTTTCCATCCTCTCTCCGGCACAGTGTACACGGTTGGGCGCGCACCTGAACACGCTGCTAAGCCAGTATCAGCAGTTCCGAAGCAGCGCCGACGGCCTGCAGGCCTGGCTGCAGACCTGTGGAGCTAACGTGGAGAGACTCCTCTCTGACACTGTGGCCTCTGACCCTGGGGTTCTCCAGCAGCAGCTAGCAACCACCAAGGTAAGCCAGGACGTGGGCTGTGTTGAGTGTCAGGGCCTTGTACTGGATGGCTAAGAGCACCCGTAGAAAACGTAATGCTTGCAGAGATTAAAGCCGGTGGCTGAAATACTCGGATCAGATCTGATTCTAACATCTGTGGCTACGGGTAAACCGAGAATTACTCTTTAAAGCTCCCTAGGAGCTCTAGGTTCCTGGAATCAGGTTTGATTATTACTTAGATGTTTCTCTCTTTTCCTTTTTTATGGACAAACAGCAATTGCAGGAAGAATTGGCTGAGCACCAAGTACCTGTAGAAAAGCTCCAAAAAATTGCTCGTGACCTCATGGAGATCGAAGGGGAGCCAGCCCTGGACCACAAGCACGTGCAGGAAACGACAGGTAGGAGGCAGCAGCACTGCTGCTTAATTCCTAGGACACGCCCCGTCTGCACACGTTCCCCTTGAAGTGCTCCACCTGAGGCTGAGGAGGGAAACGTGAACAGACGTCGACGGTGACCAAATAGCCCGCCCCCAGGAGAAATGTATTCTTACACCGTTGAAGGACTTTGGCAGTCTGGTCTCAACTCCTTTTCCCTCGGCATTTGCTGCTGGCCACACCTTGCCTCTTTCCTTTCCCCTTGAAGGCTTTCCTTTTGCTTACCGGCTAACGTGTACGAGTGCTCACTGTGGACGCTGAAATCCTGCTCGGGCCCAGCCATGGTGACCCAGGCAGTCGGGCACAGCTACACCATCCTGGAGCCACGTGGGAATGCCCATGGCTCGAATCTCAGGTCACTGAGCGCTGGTGTGCCCGCGATCCAGGCTGGCTGGATGGCTAGGAGAGGGCCAGGCGTAGCAAGGCCCCATCAGGAGTTCCTGCTTCTCTTTGTCTTTCTCTTTCTTTCGAGAAAGTAGCAAACTTTAAACAGAACTCTTACTTGTACTTCAGGGTGTAGCTGAGAGTACGGTGTGGTGAGCGTGGTTAGTAACACCATGGTGTGTGCTTGAACACTGCCGAGAGTACGCTTTAAGTCTTCTCGCCACAAAGGTGTAAGTATGTGAGGTGACACGTGCTGTAACTACTTTGACTCAGCATTCCACAACGTGTCGTGTATCAAAGCATCAAGAGCAGCACACACATGACATCACCCCACCCCTCAAAACAAGTAACAGATGAGACGTAATTGGGCCCAGCCATGACAGCACATGCTGAACCTGTTGCTGGACCTGAGGTCACATTGGAGCCTGGGTTCAATTCTGGCCTCCCCGAAAGGTGGGCACCGTGGAGTGCGCCTATGGTGCCAGCCCCTCGGCACCGAGGCAGGAAGATGGCAAGCTAACGGCCTGGGCGGCAGAGCAGGAGCCTGTCCGAAAGAGCCAGTCGAGGTGGCATTGCTTGTGATCCCAGCTCTTCAGGAGGCTGGGGCAGGAGAATTACCATGCAAGACCTGTCTAAAGAAAAGCACATAAGGGCCAGCAGGTGGCATGGTGATTAGATCACTGGACACACCCACATGGCCAACCACAGTTCGAGTCCCGGACCTGGTGGCTTGCTTTCTCACTTTCCTTCTCTTTTTTTTTTTGGAGAGATTTTCACTGTAGGGCGCGTGCGCTTGCCAGACAGACAGAGAGAGACATAGAGACAGAAAGCGAGAAATCACCCCCCAGGGGGGATGGTCACGCTGCAGTCCCTTCTCCTCCATTCTCCTCTCGGGATCTTGGGCACGCACGCACACGCGCCCGGCGTGAGTTTTAAGCCACCGGGTCCGGGACACGAACCGCGGTCGACTACGTGGGAGTCCAGCGACATAGCCATGACGCTAACTGCTGGTTCCCCTCACTTCTCTTTGTGTGTCTGTCTTTCTCTGATCAAATTAAAATAAATGAATGAATAAATAAATAATTTTTTAAAAAATCACATACAGTGGGACCAGCAGGTGGCGTAATGGTTATGTCACTGGGCTCCCACATAGTTGACCATGGTTTGAGTCCCTGACATGGCAACTTAAACCTCATGCCAGGCGCATGTGCGTGCATGCCCAAGAGAAGAATGGAGGAGAAGGGATTGCAGAGTAGCCATCCCCTGGGTGATTTCTCACCTTCTATCTCTCTCTCTCTCCAGCTAGTGCCTGCACCCTATAGCAAAAATCTTTCAGAAAAACACATACACCAAAAGACATACCAAAAAAAAGAAAATTAAATAATTATTCTTCCTTCTGAACTTCTCTATTACAGTACTCCTAGTACCTATATTGCATCTATGATTTTATTTTTATGGCTAGTTCACATACACCAAAAGACATACCAAAAAAAAGAAAATTAAATAATTATTCTTCCTTCTGAACTTCTCTATTACAGTACTCCTAGTACCTATATTGCATCTATGATTTTATTTTTATGGCTAGTTGTGATGTGCCTTCCCTTTGCTTATGCTGTTTAAGAGTCCTATGTTCATAGAAGGCAGGGACTTTAAATTAATTACCTTGAGTCCTCTACACCTGCCACAGTTTCTGCCTCTTAGTATGTGCTCATTAGCTTACTGGATTTCGCTCAGATACTAACACTCCTTCTGTCTGTCTCGATATCTAGTGTTGCTATAATATGTACAAAGTAAAAAGATTCTCTTCTCTTTTAAAACACATTACGAAAGTCAACTCCAAGGGCCAGCAGGTGGCATGGTGGTTAAGGGCACCAGACTCTCACATGGCTGACTGCGGTTCGACTCCCGGAGCTGGAGGCTTGCTCTCTCTCTCTCTCTCTCTCTGTCCCTCCTGGTCAAATTAAAAATAAATAAATAAATAAATAAAGCTAAATAAAATAATTCTTTAAAAACAAAAAGCTGTCTCCACTTCTCATGGCCTTCATTTTCAGATTCCATAGTCAGTCACTTCCAGAGCCTCTCCTGTGGCTTGGCTGAGCGCTCCGCTCTGCTGCAGAAGGCGATTGCCCAGTCTCAGAGTGTCCAGGAGAGCCTGGAGAGCCTGCTGCAGTCCATCAGGGAAGTTGAACAAAACTTGGAAGGGGAGCAGGTGTCCTCCCTCTCATCGGGAGTCATCCAGGAAGCCCTGGCCACTAACATGGTAAGTTCTTTATCCCGAGAGTTAGCATAGAGGGCGTGCATACCATGTGTTGTAATCACCTAATTTTGAAAAGATAATGGGAGAAAGATTCACTTTTATGGATCTTCTAATACAGTTTATTTATGATGACTAATCCATATAAAGATATTTCTAGCCATTTTCTAAACCCCCCTGGGCTTGAGGAAAATGGTAATAGCAAAATTTGGTGAAACGGGTCAGCTAAGATGTGTGCTGTTCTGAAGGTTCCGGTGCATCCTCAAGGTTATCGGTAGTATGTAGTTACTGGTTTGTGGCTCAGATATCCTGGAATAAGTGAGCCAGGAGCTGACGGACATGTTCTCGATGACAGAAATTGAAGCAGGACATCGCTCGGCAGAAGAGCAGCTTGGAGGCCACCCGTGAGATGGTGATGCGATTCATGGAGACGGCAGACAGCACCACAGCAGCGGTGCTGCAGGGCAAGCTGGCAGAGGTGACCCAGCGCTTCGAGCAGCTCTGTCTGCGGCAGCAGGAGAGGGAAAGCTCTCTGAAGAAGCTTCTGCCCCAGGCAGAGATGTTCGAACACCTCTCCGAAAAGCTGCAGCAGTTTGTGGAAAACAGAAGTCGGATGCTGGCCTCTGGCAATCAGCCAGATCGAGATGTTGCACATTTCTTCCAACAGATCCAGGTGAGTTCATGTGTGCCGTGTTGGCAGAAAGGGGAGAGCGGGGCAGGGCGAGGACGTACATTAACTGAGTGCGTGTTATGTCGGTGATCTGGAAACACTGCCTCGTCATCTTACAGAACTGTCATTACCATCCTACAAACTGGGTTCTGTTTGTCTTTTTTTTTTTTTTAAATCCTCTTGGGATTTGGGGCATCCATACCTGTGTGCCCAGAGTGAGCCTCCGGGTCTGGGACTCAGTGGTGTGTGGCCTAGGGCCAACCAGTGGTGTGGTGGTTAAAGCAGCCAGATCCCGGATGGCTCACCACACAGTTTAGTCCCAGATCTAGCAGCTTGAAAAGCACATTGACTGGGACCAGCAGATGGCATAATGGTTATGTTGCTGGACTCCCATGTAGTCCACTGCAGTTCGAGTCCTGGACCCGTTGGCTTCAACTTCATGCCGGGCATGTGTGTGTGCGTGCCCAAGATCCCAAGAGGAGAATAGAGGAGAAGGGATTGCTGCATGGCCATTCCCCCCAGGGGGGTGATTTCTCACTTTCTGTCTCTTTGTCTCTCTCTCTCTGCATCTCCAGTGAACATGCACACCTATAGCAAAAATCTCTCAAAAAAGAAAGAAAGAAAGAAAAGAAAAGTACATTGGGCATGCATACACTGGGCATGCGTGCACAAAATCCCAAAAGGAGGGGTAGATGGGGAGGAAATACAGCATCACCGTTGAGGGGTGATTTTGCCTTTCCTTCTCTCTCTACCTGGCCAGCACGTCTTCCCTCTAGCACAGCAAACACAGCTTGCCTTTATTTTTCACGCGTACCACACATTCCTCCCTGATCAGCTGGGGTACTCAGCTTATCATTGTCGCTCTGGGATGCAGGTTGATCGATGTAGCTTTCTTGGTTCCTGCTACAACGGGAAGAGGGCAGAACCAGTGGATGGAGTAATGGTTACATTGCTGGATTCCCACGCAGTTGACCACAGTCTGAGTCCCAGACCCAGAGGCTCACTCTGGGCACACCTGTGTGGATGCCCCAGATCCCAAGAGGACAATGGAGGAGAAGGAGCTGTGGTTTGACCCTCCCCCTTGGGGGGTGATTTCTTGTCTCTGTCTCTCTGGCAAGCACATGCACCCTATGGCAAAAATCTCTCTTAAAAAAAAAAAAAAAAACAGAAAAACAAAAGAAAGGAGAGGATATCGTATCCATTTACATTTCATCACTCAAAGCAGCTTCACGTGACCATACTTAACTTTCAAGGGAGTGCGAAATGTAATCCTACCATTTACATAGAAGGTACAGAACGAGAGATATTTGGTGAAAAATATTAACATCTACCACCTGTATATAAGCAGGAGTAGAACTGCTGGGTCATGATATTATGTATCCCTAATTTGACTAAGTACTGGCTAATTTGAGCTCCAGAATGGATCCCCCATAGCCAACTGTGCAGTTTGATTCCCAGACTTAGTGGCTTCAGAAACACACCAGATGTGTGTGCATGTGTGCCCAGAACTCTGAGAGGAGAATGAGAGAGGGATGGCAGTGGCAATGCCCCTGGTGGGTGATTTCTCACTTTCTCTTTCTCTGTGTCTGTCTCTGACAAGCACAAGTACCCTATAAGAAAACTTAAAAAATAAATAAATAAATAAATAAATAAATAAAATTGGGATCTTCTCATTGTTTTGTTCACTCTCCTAAGTTTTTGCTTTTTATATATATATATATATATATATATTTTAATTTGCTATAGGGCACCAGAGAGAGAGTGAGAAAGCAAGTTGCTAGGTCCAGGATTCAAACTGTGGTTGACCATGTGGAAGTCCAGCGCCTTATCCACCATGCTACCTGCTGGTCCATTTTCTTTATATTTTAATCTTTTAATAATTTAAGTTTCTACTGAGGTAGGAATCAAGTGTATCTTTTCCCAAAAGTCTATTTAGTTATTCCCAATACTGTTTATTTGAAAAATCTATCTTTTCTCCAGATTTGAGAAATCTTTATCATATACAAAATTTCTGTATCTATTTTAATCTACTTCTGGATTTTCTATTCTGTTTCTTTAATCTGTCTATTCATGTCCATAACATACTTTTTTTTTGTTAATGTGAATGAGCCCAGGAGAGAGAGAGGTAGAGGTCTTTTTGACAGGGTCTCACCATGTCCCGATCCTCCTGCTCCAGTCTCCCATTTAGTTGGCACCACCTGTATGCCCTCTTTTTCTACAGATTAAGGAGCCCCTTCCCCAGATTTTTTAGGTATCATTCATGTTTCAGAGTCTACTTATGTATAAGGATCAGAGGATTTAATACATTTCCTATTTGCTTGACAGGAGCTCAGCTTGGAAATGGAAGAGCAACAGGAGAACATAGATGCTCTTGAGCACTTGGTCACTGAGCTGGGCTCTTGTGGCTTTTCCCTGGACCTGTCCCAGCACCAGGACAGGGTCCAGAACCTCAAAAAGGACTTCACAGAGCTACAGAACACAGTTAAAGAAAGGTGAGTTTTTACATGTGCTGGTCAGTGTTGGGAAACTATCTTTTTCTTGCTGTATAGTGAAATGACCACTTCTTTGCCAGAAAAGATAGTAACCAGAGCTCTACTTCTGTGCCGTAGGCAGTTGGGAAGTGCTGCTTTTAGGCAAAGCTACCCAACCTGCTTTGATGCTCGGTGCGGTTTCCACTACTGATAGAAAATGGCAGCTGACTTCATAGCCTGGCGGTTAGGGAGCTGGGGCCATCATAGCTGACTGCAGTTTGAATCCTAGCCAGTGGCTTGAAAAACACGCCAGGCACGTGTGTGAGCACGCCCCAACTCCAACAGCATGGGGAAATGGAGAAGGGCTTACAGCGTAACCGTGCCCAGCTGGGGGAGGTACTAGAGTGCTCTCCCCCTCCCCTTTTCCTTGCACCTCTTAGCAATTGAAAAAAGAAAGGAAGGAGGGAAGGAAGGAAGGAGGGAAGGAAGGGAGGAAGGGAAGGAAGGACGAGGAAGGAAGGAAGGAAGGAAGATGGGGCTGAGTTCCCTCTCGGACAACTAAAAGCTCAGGTTACCTGGAACAAATAGAACAACTGTGGAGCAACAAGTAGGATTATAGCAGAATTTGAAATAAAGAGGGAAATTGGACACCTCCCAGGCATAATTAAGGGCTCCGTTGGCACTCCTCCTGCTTGTTTTGACCACATTTAAATTGTGGAGGAGTGTCTGGATTCTCCTTTGAAGGCAAACAAGGAACATATAACAAAGGCTAGTTGTTTTTAGCTCACTGCTGAAAAATCATGAATCCCCATTAGAAAGCCTTACATGGGATTAAGAACGTGAACAAGACTTCTTAATCTTGGTTTGGCCATTAACGTGATTTAGCGGGTGACTTCCTCACTGGAGGAAGTCAGTGGCTCAAACCAGCACCGTTAATAGCACATTATTTAGTGGGTGGGGTCAAAGGCCACATAAGGAACCAGGATCTCTGAACTGATATCTGAATGGTAGATGTGGCCATTTCCCAAACTTACTCCTTGGTTTATTTCATTCTTTGGCATATTTAATTAACCTGGAACTAATCATCTACCAATCCTTCCTCTGACCTCAGTTTCAGCAACTTCCTTGCTAAAGGAATAAACATTTGAATTGGGTCTTAAAAGAGTCAAATACCTAAAATGTAGCGGACTTGGAATTCGTACCTAAGCAGCTGGCTCCCTGTGCTTTTCTTCACTTTCACTTCAGCCTAGAGGAAGATTGAAGACTTCTCTCCCTAGAAATGCCCAAACAAGGGCAACAGATTCCTGAGTTTGACGCTCCCCTATATTACATGTGGTTGTTCGGCCAGACTTGCTGTGGAAAAGATTCTGGAAAGCAAAGGCCTTGTTAGGACACTCTCATAGTGAACCTAGTTTTAGTTCAGGTTGAGTTTTACAAAACTTTGTCTGGCAAGTAACCAAACGTCTTCACTTACAGAGAAAAAGATGCATCGTCTTGCCAGGAGCAGTTGGATGAATTCCGGAAACTGGTTAGAACCTTTCAGAAATGGCTGAAAGAGACTGAAGCAAGTGTACCCGTTCCAGAGACGTTCATGAGTACTAAAGAGCTGGAGAAGCAGATTGGACACCTGAAGGTAGGTGAACGGAAGATCCTGGAAACTGGGTGAGGCAGCGGTTTGGAAGCTTGCGTGGACTGATCTCCAGCTGTACTAGGGAATTTGTGTGAGAAGTCCAAGTTCTCTGCATCAGAGTAGGAATTCTCTCTCCAAGTCATTCCCACCTACCCTTCCCCAATACAAAGCACTATGACATTGCCTACTTAAAACCCGAAACCAAACGAATCATTTGGGAATTATATCTATAAAATTCAAAACTTGGACCAGCAGGTCACATGATGGTTAAGGCACTGGATTCCCACATGGCCACCATGGTTCAAGTCCCAGACCTGGCAGCTTGTTTTCTCACTTTCCCTCTCTCTCTCTTTCTGGTGAGCACACATGTCCTGTAGCAAAAACTAAAAATAATCTTTTTTTTTTTTTTTTTCAATTAAATAATTTTTTAAAAAAAAAGAAAGAAAAAGAGTCAGCTGTTTCCTAGATGCCTTTCATAATGTGATAGGCTATTAAAAAGAAATTGTCAGGACCAGCAGATGGTGTAATGATTATATCTCTGGACTCCCATGTAGTTGACCATGGTTCGAGTCCTAGACCTAGCAGCTTAAAACTCACACCAGTGGGACCAGCAGTTAGCGTAACGGCCATGTCAGTGGACCTCCCATGTAGTCTACCGTGGTTCGATTCCTAGACCCAGGCCCAGCAGTTAGCGTACCGGCCATGTCAGTGGACCTCCCATGTAGTCTACCGTGGTTCGATTCCTAGACCCAGTGGCTTAAACTCACGCCGGGCGCATGTGCGTGCGTGCCCAAGATCCCGAGAGGAGAACAGAGGAGAAGATTGCGGCATGGCCATCCTCCCTGGGGGGTGATTTTTTTGCTTTCTGTCTCTCTCTCTTTCTGGCAAGTGCACGTGCCCTATAGCAAAAACCTCTTAAAACACACACACACACACACACACACACACACACCAGCTATGTGTGTGCGTGCCCAAAATCCCAAGAGGAGAATGGAGGAGAAGGGATTGCGGCACAGCCTTCCCCACTGGGAAGTGATTTCTCACTTTCTGTCTCTCTGGTGAGTGCATACACCGTATAGTAAAAATCTCTCTAAAAAAAATAAAAATTAAAAAAAAGACAGTTGTTAAAGTCCAATCCTTGATGAGCTTATACTTTCATTGCATAATTGAGAATTAGCCAAATATTTGTGAATAAGTGATCAAATATATAATCTGGAAGTTGAAGAGAAAAGAACTAAAACTATGGCAGCCAATAACAGAAAAGTTAGAATCAGATGGTTGGAAGGTACCTTCACAGATGGGACCAATCTCCCTCTCATCACCTGCAGAATCCCTCCCGCCCCATCTTGGTTTGGCAGTCACCCCACCTGTGCGTGCAACTCCGTTTCTGTTCTTGTTGAAAGGAGCCAAATTTGCCTCTAACTACCTTGCACGTTCAGCCTTATTCCCTCAGTAACAGAGATACTATCTCAGGCAAATGAGAAGAGTTTGTCTTCACAGAGTAGGTGCCAGTAGCATTTGCTAGAAATTCTAAGGATGGGGGTGCTCCTTGTGGTTTACAGTGCCCTTAGCGTTTTAAAAAAAAATGTTTCACATGCTTCTAGACTAAACGGCACCTACTAATTCTATTGGCTAAGTAGTTAGGTTCAAACAACTTAGTAGTAGTTGTTCCTGTGCTATCCAACAGATGTCACTGTTCTTCTCTCAAATGTTCATTTAGTTATTTATTTTTTTAATTTGCTAGAGAAGATAAGAGTATGCACACTTACAGAGAGAGAGAGAGAGAGGGAGAAGAAAAGTAAGAAAGCACTCCCCATGGGGTATGGTCAGGCTACAATCCCTTCTCCTCCTTTTGGGATTTGGGGCATCCACACACGTGCATCCAGTGTGTTTCTGAAGCCATGTGGAATCCAGCTACCTTAACTACCATGCTACCAGCTGACCCTTCTCTCAAAAAAAATTTTTTTTGTGGTTTTTATATTAGGGCACGTGTGCCCACCAGAGAGAGAGAGAGCAGAGGCAATGAGAGGGAAAGTGAGAAATCACCCCCGAGAGGGCATGGCCATGCCTCAGTCCCTCCTTGTCCATACTCCTCTTGGGATTTGGGGCAGTTATGCACATGTGCCTGGTGTGATTTTCAAGCTGCCAGGTCTGGGACTCGCATTATGGTTGGCCATATGGGAGTCCAGTGCTGTAACCACTATGCCACCTGCTGGCCCTCTCTCAAAAATTTTAAGAATCCTATGGGTCAAGGCATAGTTTGGGGAATGTGACCCTTGAGAATCAAGAATGATTAATAAAAGAATTGAAAAGCAGTGACCAAGGGTCAGTTTGAAGTTAAGCAGCATGAACTTGCTAGATGCTAATGGCTATGTCTCCTCTACTGCTCCTCTGCAGCTTCAGACGAAAAGCAAACTAAGCCCACTGCCAGGGATTATTGGTGTGGAGGAAGGAATCAAAGGCCAGCATGGTTTCCATGTGTGAAAGGAGGCAGTCCTCCCGCCATGGGAGGCAGCCATGTCTGGACTTAGCATGACCTGGTGCTTCTGTCTCCGAGCAGATGCCAGTGTTCCCTGACGGATCCCTGTGGCAGTTAGAGCTCTGATTTCAACCCGACATAAAGTTCCCTTGATGATGCAAAGTAGAGCCTGTCGCTATGTCTCAGTATCTAGCCTCTCATGCCCCTTCCAGTTTCCAGTTCCTTTTCATTCTTTACACGCAGGCCCCTCTCTTTCGTCCGCCCGGCAAGCTCTTGTCTTTGTCAGGTTTGATGCTCTCTGTCATGTTGGTTGTTAGCCATGCCTGCTATGGAGGAGATCCTGGAGAGGAAATATTCCTCTCCCTAGACAGAGTTCGTTGTATCTCTTCTGAGCTCTTAGACTTCACTAACAGTCCTCGGTTCTGTAATAGCATTTATCACGTGATAATGCAGCTGATCACCTGAGCTCCTACCTGAGGAATTACCTCCTAGTAAATGTTCAGTAAAGTTTGCTGAATGAGTAAGTGACTCAGAAGATCCTAAAAATTCCTGGGTGCCATTCTCCCCTACTGTGGCTATCTAAGCCAGGAGCACGACCTGGCTGGGAATGGGACGGTGTATAAATGCTTGTCAGAGCTTCAGGAAGGAGGCCAGCAGGCGGTGTGGTTATTAAGGCACTGGATTCCCATGTGGCCAACCACGAGGCCCCAGATGTGACAGCTATTTTGTTCTTTAAACAGGGCCTCCTAGATGACTGGAAGAGTAAAGGAACTCTGGTGGAAGACATCAATTGCAAGGGCACGTCTTTAGAAAATCTCATCATGGAGATCACAGCACCTGATTCCCAGTCCAAGCCAGGTAAGTGCAGGCTTTTCAAATGTAGTGAGTAAGCATTGTTCTTTGCCTTGGGCAATGCCCCTTTATTTAATTAAAATCAGAGTTGGGGCCAGCAAGTGGTGTGGTGGCTAAGGTGCTGGACTCCCACATGGCTGACCAGGGTTCGAGTCCTGGATCTAGCAGCTGACTTTCTCACTTTCCCTCTTTCTCTCCGGTGAGTACACATGCCCTATGGCAAATTAAAATAATAATAATAAATAAATAAAATAAAATAAATTATAATTACTATTTTCAAGTTAGAGTCCAGGTTAGATGTGAACGCAGAGGGGGTCCACAAAGCAATCTTTCCCTCCACTGGGTCTGTTTCCATCCCTGCTATAGAACATTGCTTCATTCTATATCATTTTCCCTGATGATAAAAGTGAATGGACTCATGGGCACCTTAGAACTGTCAGATGAACATAGAAGAATTCAAAAAGTATTGCCTGTCCTTAGGAATTTCCCTCATCTACACACGTGAATGGGATGGGTATGAGCACAGTGTGATGCCCAGGGAGAGGTGAGGTGTCTGGATCAGCAGTGACACTCCAGACATTGGCTCACATATCGCGTGCACTCACCAAGAGACAGAGACAGAAAGTGTGAAATCGCCCCCCAGGGGGGATGGCCACGCCTCAATCCCTTCTCCCCCATTCTCCTCTCGGGACCTTGGGCATGCACGCACACACGCCCGGCATGAGTTTAAGCCACCGAGACCAGGACTCAAAACGCAGTCGACTATATGGGAGTCCAGCAACGTAGCCATTACAAAATATGGTCCCATAATTTTGAAGGGGGAACAAAGATTGTGCTCAAATATTTGATAATTCCTGGTTGTAAGTCATGTTTTTCAAGCAAAAGCCAATATGAGTTCACAGTCATTTGCTGGGTTTTAATTAGGTTCTTATAGGTTTTATTGCCAGACTGTGGGTGTATTCTAATTCTCATACTCACTTGAATAGTAAAGAAAAAGATTACTTTCCTTTTTCCTCCTGGGAATGTCTACTTTTCTGTGGTATCCTGAAGTTTCAAGATCTCTTAGAAATATCTAGAACTGGGGGACCAATCAACTGTGGTTTGAATCCTGGACCCAGTGGCTTAACATTCATGTCAGCCATGTGTGCATGTATGCCCAAAATCCCTACAGGAAAACAGAGGAGAACGGATTGCAGCATGGCCATCCCCCCTGGAGGGTGGTATCTCACTTTCTGTCTGTCTCTCTCTTTCTGTCTCTGGTGAGCGCATGCACCCTGTAGCAAAAATCTCTCTCTGAAAAAAGGTATCTAGAAGTGAATTTCAGGGAACTGGTGGTTCTTCCACTCTACTCTAGCAAGCCTCTAAGTTCAGCTACTCTCCAGCGTGTGACTAGATCAGCAAGAAGCAAATTTTTTCTATAATGGGCCGGACGATAAGTATTTTATGCTTGCAGGCCACATGATCTGTGTCACAGGTATGCACTTTTGCCATGTGGCACGGAAGCAGCCATACACAGTGTATGAGTGAATGAGTGTGGCTGTGTTCCAATAAAACTACATATGGAGACAGAGGAAAGGCCAGAGTTAGCCAGTGAGCAGTAGTTTGCTGACTCCTGTATTAGACCAGTCATTTTTTGTACCTCTTAAAGGATTAGAGTTTTTTAAAAAAATAAAACTCCGGGGGGGCCAACAGGTAGCTTGGTGGTTAAGGGTGCTGGACTCCCACATGGCTGATTGCAGTTCAAGTCCCGGACCTGGCGGCTTGCTCTCTCTCTCTTGCTCTCTCTCGCTTTCACACACACTCTACCCTTCTCTGGTCAAATCGAAATAAATAAATGAATACATAAAGTTAAATAAAATAATTTAAAAATAAAAAAATAAAACCCAGAGGACCAGCAGGTGGCCTGGTGGTTAAGGCACTGGACACTCCCACATGGCCGACTGCAATTTGAGTCCTGGCCCTGGTGGCTTGCTTTCCCTCTCCCGCTCTCTGTCTCTCTCTCTCTGGTCAAATTAAAATAAATGAATTAATTAATAAAATTAAATAAATTTTAAAAAATTAATAAATCAAACTTGGACCAGTTAATGACGTGGTGGTGAAGGCCGCTAGATCCCATATGGTGACTGCATGGTTCAAATCCTGGGACCAACGGCTAGAGAATCACACCAGGCCCATGTACATGCCTGCCCAGAATCCCAGAAGGAGGGAAAAATGGAGGAGAAGGGATTGAGGTGTGACCATTCTCCATAGGGGGTGATTCTAACTTTCTCCCTCTCTCTTTCTCCCCCAAGTGCATACACCCTCTGACAGAATTTAAAAATCAAGAAATAAATTATTAATCATATGTAGACCCTTACTACATAAAACATAAGAATATTTTGTTAGCATTAATTTCTCTTGTAAGTTAATTATAGCATTTGTCTATTATGAAAGTCATCAGTAAGAACATAGAGTCTATCTTAATGGATGGACAGATTCAATAAGAAAGATTATTAGATGAATCACCATCTGATTGTCTCTGAATTTGTTTGGTTTCTTTGTACCCAGAAATTATGGTTCACATATATGAGTAGTTGTGAATGATAAGAAATGTTTTAAAAATAATTATTTTATTTAACTTTATTCATTTATTTATTTTTTAATCTGACCAGAGAAGGACAGAGCGAGGGTGGGGGCGGGGAGTGAGAAAGCCAGCTGCCAGGTCTGGAACTCGAACCATGGTCAGCTATGTGGGAGTCCAGCGCCCTTAACCACCATGACACCTGCCAGCCCCACTGAGAATTTTTTTTTTTTAAAGGTTCACTTTATAATCTCAGAATACTCTTTAAAACTGAACTAGAAACTCAAAAGTGAATTAATACATTTATATGTGAGAGTTAAGACACTAAGAATACTTCGTGAGGGCTTACCTTCTTGAATGCAGGAAAGATGTCAAACAGACATAGAAGATAAAACTGGTAAACTGATGTCGCTGTGACCTGAGTGTGGAGAATTCGATCGTTGTACAGTGCTGCCCTGAGAGCAGAGCTCGCTCTGAGTAGATGTGTCTCGGCTGAGTTCACTTTCTTCCATGTGTACACACGTGCTGTGGGTGTTTTCCCTCTGTGCAGTAAGCATGAGCGGACATGTGCAAGTTCTGAATATCAGAACCTGCTAGTGAAGAGCTACACCCTTTCGGCTCAGTGATGCTCGAAACAAGCTGCAATGTCTGCATGGAGGTCGCAGGACTTGTTTCATTCATCCCCCCAAAGCAGGATGAATCAGTAAAGATGCGGCATTCAACATAATTGAATGCACGTGTTTTATTGCCGTTTCTAAGTAGTCCAAGTGTATCTGAGTATTATATTTAAACAAAACAGTGACTGAATCCCTAAAGTACCTCCTTGGGGTGTTTTGAACATCACTGACATGAGTGCCGTCAAAGCTTTCTTCTGTGACTATTTTAGTTCCTTACATTTGTGTAATTATTTTTGTTTCATAAAGTGTTTTCTTTTTTTAAATTTTTACATTATTTAATTTATTTATTATTACTTGTTAGTTTGACCAGAGAAAGAGAGAGAGAGAAAGTGAGAAAGCAAGCCTCTAGATCCAGGACTTGAACCGTAGTCAGCCATGTGGAAGTCCAGCACCTTAACCACCATACCACCTGCCACCCCCCCATAAAGTGTTTTCACATACATCACCTCTTGACTTCTCTTCAGTAGTCCCATGAGAGTTATCAGGATAGGTAGTATTATCTTATTATATTAGAGAGGAAACTGAGTTCTGTCCATAGATTAAGGCTCATGTAGTGCGTTAGTGACAGTCTTGGCTAGGACCTTTCTGTCCTAATTGTTAGTCTTGTTTCTTTTTTTGGCCATATTGTTTAAGCCTAACTTTTTTAAAAAAATATTTTATTCATCATCATCATCATTACTATTTCATTTGAACAGAGAGAGACAGGGAAAGTGAGAAGGCAAGCCGCCAGGTCCGTTGTTCGAACCATGGTCAGCCGTGCAGGAGTCCACAACACCTCAACCACCACACTACCTAATAATCCCTTAAGCCATTTTTTTAAATTGAATATATAGTAACATGAACACGTGTTAAACACTCCATGGTCGAACATGGTTCAAATTCCAGATCCAGTGGCCTGAAGATCACAACAAATGAAATAAATGTTTGGGGGAAAAAGTTTTACACTAACTACCTCAACACAACTTTTTTTTATGTGATTGTATAAAAATGAAATTAAAGATTAAAAAAAAGCATTCGATGGAAAATTTTTTTTTTTTTTAGTTTTGTTATTGGGTGCATCAGCTTGCCAGAGACAGAAAGAGAGAGAGAAAGAGAGAATGGGTATGGGGGGGGTATGGGGGATGGGTATGCTACGATCTCTTCTCCATTTTCCTCTTGGGATCTTGGCATGCATGCACATATATCCAGCAATTTTTTTTTTTTTTTTTTTTTTTTGAGAGGTTTTCGCTATAGGGCACGTGCACTCGCCAGACAGACAGAGACATAGAGGCAGAAAGCGAGAAATCACCCCCCAGGGGGGATGGTCATGCCGCAATCCCTTTTCCTCCATTCTCCTCTCGGGATCTTGGGCACGCATGCACACGCGCCCAGCATGAGTTTTTTAAGCCACCGGGTCTGGGACGTGAACCGCACTATCCAGCACAATTTTCAAGATTCCAGGACCAGGGTTTGAACCTTGCATTTGGACACGTGGAATCCAGCACCTTAACTTCTATGCCATGTGCTGGCCGAACATAGTTTTTCAGTAAATATCTTGCACATGACTTTACACAGAGAAATCAGTACACAGGAGAGTTTTATTCTGCTGGGTTTTTAAAAAAGAATTATTTATTTATTATTATTTTATATTTACTATAGGATACGTATGCTCACTGTGGTGGGTGAGGGGGACAATGAGAAAGCAAGCTACCAGATCCAAATTCAAACTGCTGTTGGCCATGTGGGATTTCAGTGCCTACACAACCATGCCACCTGCTGGCCCTTTAACCTTTTAATGTAATATTATATTATGCATATTTTTCAGATTCCTATGTAATCTTTATAATTACTTAACCTGGTTTTTTTCCTTAAATTGGAAAACTCCTCTAAAGTACAGGGAATTCATTTGGGGACAATATAGGTGAAATTATGGCAATTAGAAACAAAAACCAAAGGTCCAAGCCAGAATGTATGGGATGTTTATGAACCAGATTTATTTATTTATTTTTAAACATTTATTTATTTATTCGTTGTGATTTTTGGGCTACCAGGTCCAGGACTTGAACTGCAGTCGGCCATGTGGGAGTCCAGTGCCTGCTGGCCCCCTGAGCCATATTTTTTAGCACTGCAAATTTCTATTTTTCAGTGGGAGAAGAGGTCATGAAAGGAAAGACAGGGAATCTTCCTTTAGAAACAAAACAAGGGGGCTGGCTTCGTAGCTAGTGGTTAAGTAAATTGGATCCCATACAGCCAATCACGGTTCGAATCTCAACCCCAGCAGCCTGAAAAACAGTGTGTGTGTGTGTGTGTGTGTGTGTGTGTGTGTGTGTGTGCGCGCGCGTGCGCACGCGTGTGTGCATGCCCCTAAAATCCCAACAGAATGGAAGAGAGGAATGGAGGAGAGGCAGCCATACCACTGGAGTTGCTTTCTCCCTCTCCCTTTCTCTCTGTCTCTCTCGGGCAATCAAATTAAAAAGTAAAAAAAAACCAAAAGAAGGGCACATGTTAAGATCTTTGTTAAATGAATGCTACTTTTTGTGTCTCTACCTATTGTTCATTTTTATTATAACAGAAGGCATTGATATTAAAGGTGAACTCTTGTGACTTTATTATAAATGCTTGTTCCAAAATGCGCCATCTAACATTCTAAAGACTTAATGATTTTACTAGTACTTGTTTCACAAAATTAGGGCAGGGAACAAAGAATCCAAGCTGGAGCTTTAAGAAGGGAATTTGAATTTTCTCTAGAAAGGATTTTTAATCCTTCCTGCTAGTTGCCTGGCAGCTAAAATGATTCGTGTCTTTCTACGAGTGTGTTGTCTTGTGCTGTGTTAACTTCCTGATACCCAAGCTTAAAGTGAGTGCCAAAGAACAATTCAGTTGCCTGTATGTATTCCTAACACGTCGGTCTTGCCCTGTTTGTCTCCCTGTCCTTCTGCTCAGGTTCCATACTGCCCTCTGTAGGAAGCACTGTAGGCAGTGTAAACGGATACCACACTTGCAAAGGTGAGAATGCCACTTCACCAGTGTCTCCCTGTCGGTGTGTTAGGCAAGTGCTCCTGTTGCATCTCTGTCTGTTTTAAAGTGTGTGGAAGAACTACTGCTAGGATGGGTGAGGGTGGAAGCCTGGGGAGCAGCAGCTGCGACACCTCTTCGTTTGCTGGCTGTGGGCTAGACACACTGGTGAGCTCTGACACTGAGGGTGCTGAGGAGCTAAACTGGATCACTGGATCCGGCCTGGAAGGAAAGACCTGGAAGGAAATATATGTGAATCTTTGAATTATAAAGAGGCTGTATACTCAGGCCAGCCACATAGCCTGGTGGTTAAGGGAGCTAGGTCCCACGTGGCTGACTACAGTTCGAATTCCAGCCCCAACAGCTTGAAAAACACATTGGGCACGTGCGTATGTGTGCCTAGTATCCTGGCAGGATGGAGAAATGCAGAAGGGGTTGCGGCATGTCCGTGCCACATTAGGGGGTGCTTTCTCCCTTTCCCTCTCTCTGCTCCTCTGTCTGTGGCAAGCACATGTGCCCTCTGGCAATGAAAAAAAATCATGAAGCCACACTAGAGGAACTGTATAGTCCTCACAGCTGGGTACTCCTTTGTCACTTAAAGGAGAAGGAGCAGAAATGCCCGAGTGCATTTATCCCTGTACTGTAGGAGGCTTGAAGTCCTGCTTTCACTCTCCTCACTTTTGTGGTTCCCATGTTTATTTAGCATTTTAAAGTGTGCATCTGAGTATGTAATGCCAAAACCCTAAAGCAGGTTCACGTTTACGTAGACACAGCAAAAGCACTGTGTGTATCCCATGAAGTCACTTTTATGTGATTTATCATGAAGATCATCTACAGGTCACTAGAAGGGGGAGGAGAGTGCTTTACCCAGGCCAGGGGTTTAGGAGTGAGAAATGAAGGAGGCTGCTTGGAGAGCAATTCCCAGTCTGATTTCTGTTTCTGTGATACCAGATCTGACGGAGATCCAGTGTGACATGTCAGATGTAAACTCCAAGTATGAGAAATTAGGAGGAATCCTTCGGGAACGCCAGGAAAGCCTTCAGGCAATCTTCAGCAAAAACCAGAAGGAGGCAAGCTCAGTGCTACAGTGGCTAGAATCAAAAGAGGAGGTCCTGAAATCCATGGATACCTCTTTGTCTCCAACCAAGACAGAAACAGTCAAAGCCCAAGCTGAATCTAACAAGGTACCGTGTTTATGTCCTCTGCATCCCAGCGCCAATGAAAGGGGCTGGTACCTAGTGTTCCTGCCTGAGCCAGGGGCCTGCGAGCGAGATGTGGCCAACTGTCCAGGCTGTCATGAGTAGCGTGTGTGACTTACAAATGATTAATATGCATTAACTCTCCTAGAGAACTTTCTTTCCTAAGAAATTAGAAATCGGGGCTAGCCCATGTCCTAACAGTTAAGGGAGCTGGATCCCACATGGCAGACTGGAGTTTGACTCCCGGCCCTGATGGCTTGAAAAACACTCCTCAAATCCTGACAGGATGGAGAAATGGAAGAGCAATTGCAGTGTGACCATGGTCCATGGGGGTTGTTCTCTTCCTCTCTCTGTCAAGCACACATACCCTCTGGCAACAACCATAATGAAAGAAATTGTTACAAATCCTATCCAAAACAAAACCAGATGTTTACAGAAAGAGAATAGTCCTTTAGAGAAGTACCAGCTTCTGGTGCAGAAGCTTCTTACGCTGCAGGAGATCTAAGCCCTTCTCATCAGAGTTCCTTTCTAACTCTTAGAGGGACCTAAAAACCCGTGGTTAGAGTTCATAAATGAGATTGACATAGGGGACTAGGAAAAATACCAGAAGATACAAGATCCTAGGAAATCCTGGAAGAGGGTCAGGCCTGCAATGCTGTGCTTAAAGGAGTCAAATCCCGTATGGCTGACCGTGGTTTGAATTACGGCCCTGATGGCTTGAAAAATACACTGGGTGTGTGTGCATGTGTATCCAGAGCCCTGACTGGAAAGAGGGCCAGGAGACAAAGGATTATGGCAGGACTGTGCCACACTGGGGTGCTCTCTCTCTTTCTCTGGTGAGTACATGCAATAAAAAGAAGAAATAAAATCCTATAAGAAATTTTCTTCAAAATTTTAGTAACAGTACATGCTTGTGCATGAGAGAGAATATGCACGTGTGATAGTGTCTTGTCATGCTGTGATTCCCCTCTGGCCGACCCATCCCCTAGCTCCTTAGGATCCTGGGTCCAGACTGTAATTGTCACACGGCTTCTAGCACTTCTGGACCCTGGTGTTACTGCCACACTACAGTGTCCGGGCATCTCCGAATTGTTTAATATTCCGGTTGAGCCTAGCACATCAGCTCCTCCAGCTGCAAAAACGTCGTCAGTGTATCTCGGCACTCTCAGTTTGTAGGAATTGATAATTCCTTCTTACTGGGTTCTACTGACGTACATAAAGGAAGCTCAGATCCTGCCATCTAGATCTTTCTTTTAAAGTAAAAATGGAAGCAGAATGGTTAGTATGTTAAAGTCACAGAGTAAGTCATGGGTAGAATCAGGGTAGAAGCTTTTCATACTTGTTGCCCAGTCTTCCAGTCATTTCTGCCACACACAGTTGGGTTTCTTGTCTAGAATTTTTCCAAAATGTTATGGCTTGCATGATATTCTTTCTCCTAGGCCTTTCTGGCTGAATTGGAACAGAATTCTCCTAAAATCCAGAACGTAAAGGAAGCCCTGGCTGCATTACTAGTGACATATCCCAACTCACAGGAAGCAGAAAACTGGAAGAAAATGCAAGAGGAGCTCAGTAAGTTGTCACAGCAATGTTGCACACTCTCGGTCTGTCTTTGAAATAGAGTTTCAGAACATCTTGTAAAGCAGGAATTTTTTTTTTTTTTTTAAGAATTCTTTTATTTAACTTTCTTTCTTCTACTCTTAGCTTTGCTTTGCTTTGCTTTGCTGTTTAATTTGACCAGAGAGGGACAGAGTAGGTGGGGGTGGGTGGGAGTGAGAAAGCAAGCCGCCAGGTCCAGGACTTGAACCAGGAATTATGTTTAATTTTCCTAAACAAGCAAGAAACTCAGATAGGGCCAGGTAGTAAGCCTAATTAGGGAAAAGAATTAGAGATTTAGTGCAAAGAATCAGAAGTTCGGCTTTCTTAGGCAAGTCTAATGGACAATACTGTGATAAGAGCCGAAGAGAGCTCTGATGTTAAAATGGGAAGTAATCTAGTCTGTAAAGAGATGAGATACCTACCTTTGTGTTCATTATTGAACTATAAATCATGCTGATGATGAACTTATTGGCATAAAAGGTGTTCATACGTAGTAAATTTTAAAACACTGTAAAATACATAGTGTATTTTACATGCACTCATATGTACATGTGTGTTTACTTCTGTGAAGTGTCATCATATGTGTGGTTCCATGTTACTGCCACCACAATCAGGATACAGAGCTGTTTGTATTACTTTCATTAGAAAATTTAAAAGGCTATTTTTGACTTTGAAAACATTTCCATAAAGTTCCGGGGGTCATTTCCTGTGGTATATTAGGAACATATTTTAGGGACAGCAGTTGCTGATGAGAATGAAAGAATACATTCTCCCATTTCCTCTTCACAGACTCCCGGTGGGAAAGGGCCACTGAGGTGACTGTGGCTCGGCAGAGGCAGCTCGAGGAATCAGCAAGCCACCTGGCCTGCTTCCAGGCTGCAGAGTCCCAGCTGCGGCCCTGGCTGATGGAGAAGGAACTGATGATGGGCGTGCTGGGGCCCCTGTCTATTGACCCCAACATGTTGAATGCACAAAAGCAGCAAGTGCAGGTGAGCAGAACCGCTTACGCTTCACAGCGAAGGAGGTGCCGTCACAGGACCTGGGTCTGCATGGTGGACAAGTCGTTCAGCCCTTCCGAGTCTCGGTTTCCCAGTTTAAATGTGATGCTTGGAAGGAGTTTATCATGATGCCGGTCAAATAGCAAGCAGTCGATGTCTCTGTTACTAACATCAGAACAGAGGCAGTAGGACGAGTGGATGTGAGAATGAGGAGTTTTTTTTACTATAGCACATGTGCAGACATACACACGCATGCACACACGAGAGAAGTAGCTTTGATAGGTCTCTCCGTGTCGCAGTCAAGAATGGAGAACTTTGTCTAGCTAAATTGTGGAATCATTATTTTACTTTTAATCAATCCCCAGAGGTAGTGATCCATATTACTATATTATATGTACTGACTATATGTAAAGATTTTCTGCTGATCAAATACATCTCAGAAAAGTTAATTTAAGTGTCTATCTTCGCAGAAGTTTAGGTTGGTCAAGATTATGCTATTTTGGGGCCAGCAGACAGCGTTGTGGTTACGTCATTGAACTCCCACATGGCCAACCACAGTTTGAGTCCCAGACCCAGTGGCTTGAAAATCATGCTGGGCACCTGTGTGTGCATCCCCAAGATCCTGGGAGAACGGAAGAGAAGGGATTGTGACATGATCAGCCCCCCCCCCAGGGGTGATTTCTCACTTTCCCTCACTGTTTTTCTCTCTCTCCAGTGAGTGCATGTGCCCTAAGGCAAAAACCTCTTGAAGAAAAAATGATCTTATTTCCAAGCCAGCCTGTGACACGGTGGTTAAGATGGCTGGGTCCCATGTGGCCAACAGCATGGTTCAAGTGTCTTGTAAAACATGCTGAACACGTGTGTCCGTGCCCAAAATTCTGAAATGAGGGAGAAATGAAGGAGAATGGATTGTGGCATGACTATTTCCCCGCAAGGGTTTCTCCCTTTCTCGCTCTCTCTCTCTCTCGTTCTCACTCTCTCTCCTCTCTTCCCCCCCCCATTCCTTTGTCAAGTGCACATGTCCTCTGTGAAGCAAAGTAAATATTAAAAAATAAGTGAATAAATAAATATGTGCATATATATAATATATAAATCTCAATGACTCCCACCTAGAACCTTTTCCTTATTTTGTATTCTCCCCTGAACTTGTTTCATTTCATCTCACATTCCACCAAGTACCCCAATTTAGGACTTAAGAGTAGTTTTTGAAGGAACCCTTTCTTTTAGCCTCTCCACCCAAATAATTATTATAACTAAGCAGTTAGTCTACTTACCAAGTATTTTTCTAATCCACTGGCTTTCAAATTTTTTGGTCTCGAAATCCTTTTTATTCTTAAAACTTGGCCAGCACAGTGGCATAGTGGTAATGCAGCGTTCTACAATGCGGAAACCACGTGGGAGGTCCCAGGTCCGTGTCCTAAGGTCTCCCTGCACATAGCAGGGGTGTGTGCATGCCTGTGATACTGGTTGGCTGAGGCTGAGGGATGGAGGATGGCACAGGGAAAGGGCCTAGGGACTCTCAAAGTCCCTGAACCATACTTTGAGAATAATTGTTCTAACCCTCCCTTTTTCCTCCATTTTATCTGTAGGCCTTTTCTCTGGTTTATACCATTGGGTCAGCCTTCTAAAGGACAGATTCTTGGTCCAGTCCATCCTGCACACAGTTATCAAATTATCTCCTTAAATCACATATCTGACTCTATTAAAATGCTCAGAGGGGTGCAGTAGGTGGCATGATGGTTAAGGCACTGGACTATCACATGGTCAACCATGGTTCAAGTCCTGGACCTGGTGGCTGAAAATTACACCAGGCATGTGTACGCCTGCCCAAATCCCCAGAGGAGGAGGAAAGGGATTATGGTATTGCCATGCCCCCTGGGGGGTGATTTCTCACTTTCTTTCTCCCTTTTTCTCTGGGAGCATGCATGCCCTTTGGCAAATGAGTCCCAGACCCAGTGGCTTGAAAATCATGCTGGGCACCTGTGTGTGCATCCCCAAGATCCTGGGAGAACGGAAGAGAAGGGATTGTGACATGATCAGCCCCCCCCCCAGGGGTGATTTCTCACTTTCCCTCACTGTTTTTCTCTCTCTCCAGTGAGTGCATGTGCCCTAAGGCAAAAACCTCTTGAAGAAAAAATGATCTTATTTCCAAGCCAGCCTGTGACACGGTGGTTAAGATGGCTGGGTCCCATGTGGCCAACAGCATGGTTCAAGTGTCTTGTAAAACATGCTGAACACGTGTGTCCGTGCCCAAAATTCTGAAATGAGGGAGAAATGAAGGAGAATGGATTGTGGCATGACTATTTCCCCGCAAGGGTTTCTCCCTTTCTCGCTCTCTCTCTCTCTCGTTCTCACTCTCTCTCCTCTCTTCCCCCCCCCATTCCTTTGTCAAGTGCACATGTCCTCTGTGAAGCAAAGTAAATATTAAAAAATAAGTGAATAAATAAATATGTGCATATATATAATATATAAATCTCAATGACTCCCACCTAGAACCTTTTCCTTATTTTGTATTCTCCCCTGAACTTGTTTCATTTCATCTCACATTCCACCAAGTACCCCAATTTAGGACTTAAGAGTAGTTTTTGAAGGAACCCTTTCTTTTAGCCTCTCCACCCAAATAATTATTATAACTAAGCAGTTAGTCTACTTACCAAGTATTTTTCTAATCCACTGGCTTTCAAATTTTTTGGTCTCGAAATCCTTTTTATTCTTAAAACTTGGCCAGCACAGTGGCATAGTGGTAATGCAGCGTTCTACAATGCGGAAACCACGTGGGAGGTCCCAGGTCCGTGTCCTAAGGTCTCCCTGCACATAGCAGGGGTGTGTGCATGCCTGTGATACTGGTTGGCTGAGGCTGAGGGATGGAGGATGGCACAGGGAAAGGGCCTAGGGACTCTCAAAGTCCCTGAACCATACTTTGAGAATAATTGTTCTAACCCTCCCTTTTTCCTCCATTTTATCTGTAGGCCTTTTCTCTGGTTTATACCATTGGGTCAGCCTTCTAAAGGACAGATTCTTGGTCCAGTCCATCCTGCACACAGTTATCAAATTATCTCCTTAAATCACATATCTGACTCTATTAAAATGCTCAGAGGGGTGCAGTAGGTGGCATGATGGTTAAGGCACTGGACTATCACATGGTCAACCATGGTTCAAGTCCTGGACCTGGTGGCTGAAAATTACACCAGGCATGTGTACGCCTGCCCAAATCCCCAGAGGAGGAGGAAAGGGATTATGGTATTGCCATGCCCCCTGGGGGGTGATTTCTCACTTTCTTTCTCCCTTTTTCTCTGGGAGCATGCATGCCCTTTGGCAAAAACCTTTAAAAAAGAAAAGAAGAAAAGAAAAGGAAAAAAAGCTCAGTAGCTTGTGGCTGACTAGTGAACAATGTCCAAATTCTTGCTGAATGTGATACTTGAAGGCCTTTCACAATTTGGTCCCAGCTTGCCAGCCTCATCTCCAGCTCTTTCCCCATATGCCCAGGTTTCCACCCACCTTCCCTAACACGCTCACTCCTACGGCTCTCTGTGCCCTTCACTAGCCTTACTCTCCCCGCTGGGAGAACTGCCACTCATTCTTTTTTCTCTTTTTTCCTTTCCAATTTGCCAGAAGGTGCACATGCTCACAGAGTGAGAAAGTAAGAAAGCACCCCATGGGGGATGATGCTCAGACCTTTCTCCTCCACATCTCCCTCCTTTCTGGATGTTGGCCATGCACACATGCGCGCACACACACACACACACACACACACACACACACTCAGCATGTTTTTCAAGCTACTGGGTCCAGGACTCAATACTGTGCAGTGGGCCCTGTGGGATCCAGCCCCTTAGCCACCATGCCACCTGCTGGCCCTCTTTTCGGTCCTTATTCCCGCTTCTGGGGGACCTTTCACGATTTCCCTCTTCCCCCTTTTGTTACCAGCGACATTGCCCTTTGTTCCATGCTTTGTTCCCTCTTCCATGCTCCCATCATTCTCTCTCCATTTTCACTCGTGTTACATTTCAGTGTAGTCCGTTGTTTATGCATCTGTTACTTCTCAAGGTCACAGTTTATTTATTTTTGAACAGTGTAAATACTGAGTACTTTCCAAACATGTTCTCACTCAGTCTTTATAGCAGCGAACATAAGTGCTCGAGGAAGCTAAGGTTTGGAAAACTTTTAAAAACTTGCCTAAAGTTATAGAGCTAGTAAATGCCGAGGCAGGATCTGTACATAGGCAGCCTATCGCGAGAGTTTATTCCCAACAACTTTGACGAGAGCAGCAAGGAATAAAAATACATAAAAACACCCAGTTAGCACTTTAAAGAAGCTCTTTATGTACGTGTGCTCCACTATAATGTACAGATTGTTAAATGCTGTTGGAATTTCGAGAAAGGGAATGCATAGGCATCGAGAGTTGAAATGACAAATTCAGCTAGCGACATAGCTGGCTGCGGGATTTAATGTTCCCAACCCTGTGTTCTGAGAGCTGAGCATTGCATGGCAGAGCTGGCGAAAGCTTTGGTTTCTCCGTCTAGGCCAACCTTAGTCACCAGTGTTGAGACAGAATAAGACAAATAAGGAAAAGAAATAGACACAATCGACGATCCTTTCAAACGAAGATTTTATTCAGCAGTTGTCAAATGCTGCTGCGTTGGCCAGGCAGCTTGGTCCTAATAGTTGTCTGGTATATTTTCCAAAGGAATTGGCACTTATTTGGCATAATCCAAAATCAGTTTTTGTTTTGGCACTGCTTGCAGATCTGTTTTCCTATCTAAACAGTGCTGTTGTCTTTTCTGTTTCAGTTTATGCTGAAGGAATTTGAAGCACGCAGGCAGCAGCATGAGCAGCTGAATGAGGCAGCTCAGGGCATCCTCACAGGGCCTGGAGATGTCTCTCCCTCCACCAGCCAAGTGCAGAAGGAGCTCCAGAGCATCAACCTGAAGTGGGTTGAGCTGACAGACAAACTCAATTCTCGATCCAGTCAAATCGACCAAGCTATTGTCAAAAGCACCCAGTACCAGGAGCTGCTTCAGGACTTATCAGAGAAAGTGAAGGCGATCGGGCAGCGCCTGAGTGGCCAGTCGGCCATCAGCACCCACCCTGAGGCCGTGAAGCAGCAGCTGGAGGAGACCAGTGAGATTCGCTCGGACTTAGAGCAATTAGACCATGAGATTAAGGAGGCCCAGACATTGTGCGATGAACTCTCAGTGCTCATTGGTGAGCAGTACCTCAAGGATGAGCTGAAGAAGCGTCTGGAGACAGTTGCCTTGCCCCTTCAAGGTTTAGAAGACCTTGCAGGTGAGTTGGGGCAAGGAGCGCACTTCTGCTGTTTCCAGTGGCTTGCAGAAAGGAGGAGTGGGTTAAGAGCAGTCCCATAAAGCTAGGTCTCAGACCCAGATGAGCATTAACCTGTCGCTTCTTCCAGGTCCAGCGAGAACTGCAGTGGTGTCGCATGCTCAGCAGTAACCATACATGCAGCTTTACGTAGCATAGTCCCAGAGATAAAAGTCTCAAGTAAATTCAGCCAGCAGGTAGAGTTTCATGCCCACAGATAGACCAAGAGGTGGCATTACACACACACATTCACCGATGCCCACTTAATTTCTTCATATCATGGACGCACACGTACATCACATATGCAAAGTTAGAATACGTTGCTGCTTCTTATGATGACCTTGTAAAAAGATCTCATCACTAATTCGTTGCCTCTTTTCCTGGAAATGTTTATGATTTTTGCTTTTACTGGCTAAGAAGTAACACTTTACTGTGGATGTTGCTGTAGGGATTAAGTAGGCTATAGTATGCGAAGGAGCCTCGTCGTGCACCCCTGTATGGTAAGCTCTCAATTAGTTAGTTTCCTTCCCCTAAGATTAGATGTACACCCTCCGCAAACATTTTAAATGCCATGTTCAGGCTTGATTGATTTCAATTTCACTTTCTCATTTCAGCCGATCGCATGAACAGACTCCAGGCAGCTCTTGCCAGCACCCAGCAGTTCCAGCAAATGTTTGATGAGCTGAGGACCTGGTTAGATGACAAACAAAGCCAGCAAGCAAAAAACTGCCCAATTTCTGCAAAATTGGAACGGCTACAGTGTCAGCTACAGGAGAATGAAGAGTTTCAGAAGAGCCTTAATCAACACAGTGGTTCCTATGAGGTGATTGTGGCTGAAGGGGAATCTCTGCTTCTTTCTGTCCCTCCTGGAGAAGAGAAGAGGACTTTACAAAACCAGCTGGTTGAGCTCAAAAGTCACTGGGAAGAGCTTAGTAAAAAAACTGCAGACAGACAGTCCAGGCTCAAGGACTGTATGCAGAAAGCTCAGAAATATCAGTGGCACGTTGGTGACCTTGTGCCATGGATAGAAGACTGTAAGGCCAAGCTGTCCGAGTTGCAGGTCACTCTGGATCCGGTGCAGCTTGAGTCTAGTCTCCTGCGGTCAAAGGCCATGCTGAGCGAGGTCGAGAAGCGCCGCTCCCTGCTGGAGCAGCTGAATAGTGCGGCCGACATTCTGATCAATTCTTCAGAAACCGATGAGGATGACATCCGGGATGAGAAGGCTGCCGTCAACCAGAACATGGATGCCATCACAGAGGAGCTCCAGGCCAAGACGGGGTCTCTTGAAGAAATGACTCAGAGGCTCAAGGAGTTTCAAGAAAGCTTTAAAAATATTGAAAAGAAGGTTGAAGGAGCCAAACACCAACTTGAGATCTTCGACGCTCTAGGCTCTCAAGCCTGCAGCAACAAGAACCTGGAGAAGCTAAGAGCTCAGCAGGAGGTGCTGCAGGCCCTGGAGCCTCAGGTGGACTATCTGAGGAACTTCACCCAGGGGCTGGTAGAAGATGCCCCAGATGGATCTGATGCTTCCCAACTGCTACATCAAGCTGAGCTCACCCAGCAAGAGTTCCTAGAGGTGAAGGAGAGAGTGAACAGTGGTTGCATGACCATGGAAAACAAGCTGGAGGGCATTGGCCAGTTTCACTGCCGAGTCCGGGAGATGTTTTCTCAACTGGCGGACCTGGACGATGAGCTAGATGGCATGGGTGCCATCGGCAGAGACACCGACAGCCTGCAGTCCCAGATTGAGGACGTACAACTGTTTCTTAACAAAATCCACGTCCTCAAGTCAGACGTAGAGGCCTCAGAAACGGAGTGCCGGAAAATGCTGGAAGAAGAGGGGACTCTGGACTTGTTGGGTCTTAAGAGAGAGCTGGAAGCCCTGAGCAAACAGTGCGGCAAACTGACAGAGAGGGGCAAAGCTCGGCAGGAGCAGCTGGAGCTGACCCTGGGCCGCGTAGAGGACTTCTACAGGAAATTGAAAGTACTCAATGACATGACCACAGCCGCAGAAGAGGGAGAGGCCCTCCAGTGGGTAGTGGGGACCGAAGTGGATGTCATCAACCAACAATTAGCAGATTTTAAAGTAAGTCTGGCCCTCGTTTTGTAATCTTTAATCTGTCTCCTATGTGTATTTCTTTGCTTTTCACTTAGAAACTGTTTGAGGATACACGTTTTAACTTCAGCAGGTTTCATTACTCTCAGGTCTGTCACCAGCAAAGCCCACTGCTGGGAGACCAAGCGGATTTGAACATTTGTCTATTGTGGTTTATTTCCATTTTTATAACCAATTAAGGGTATAAAAAGAAATATCCAAGTCTGGTCTCTTATGCATAAGAATCTCCTCTTGTGATTTCTTGAGATTTCGAGGTCACCGATTTTGTAACAGCAGTGTGTGTCGTCGGGTCCCTGTTTTTCAAGTTGAGGCCTTGGAAACCATGAGACAAGTGTGCTCATCTTCCTAACGTGTTGATTTTGTAGAGGGGAAGAGGGGCTTGGGGTTATTGGCATATTATGCAATATAATGTAAAATTCTCTTGAATTATTAAGATAAAACATAACACTTCAAATAAATTTCCCACTTACGGCAAGCAACTTAACAATACACACTAGCCTTTTCTAGAGTACAAGTTCTTTGTAGGGGAGTTTCAAAAGCACTACCTTAATTACAAAAGTGTCTTCATTCTTTGCCTGAGCTCAGAACTTATAGTCCTGAGATTTTATGAGTCTAAATTAAAACAACAGGGGATAATTAGCACATCCCTACAGTATGGATTTGCTGGGTCAGGTCTTGCCTGTTGGGTGTCGGCTCTCACTATGTAAGCCTTTTGCCCCAGAGTTTCCTTTTTGTTGAATACCTAGAAATGCCTCCCCTGCCACCATGTCCTTCCTGGTGCATTGAATAGATTTGGAAAGGATATCTCCAATATTGTATTTCCCTCACGGTGTCAGTTATCCCCACTTACATAGTGACACTCCTGCTGTCAGGTAAACATGATCTCCCAAAGCATCCCTCTACCCCTGCCTATCAGAATTCTTTCTCTTAAAAAACATGGCCAGAGAGATGGTTTTGATGCCAGGTCAGAGCCAATGGTCTCTAGAAAGGTCACGATTCTGTAGACAAGGTCCAAGGGCAAAAAGGTGACTGTTCCGGGACTCCTCTAGGAACTTAGGAGACAGGCAGCACTGATGAGGCATTGGCTCGCGTCCCCTTGCTGTGTTTGGAGCCGCGGAAGGCACCGCATAAGGTTTTCTTGAGGCAGACAAATGAAGCAAGTGTGGGCAGAGCGAATTCACACCCAGGAGCCAGTGTGTGTTCCTCTTGGAAACTCCCACACCTCTCTTCCTGTTTCAGCTTGTGCATTTTTTTTTTTTCTCTTCTGCCATTAGTGCACCTAAAGCAGAGACACTTGTGCAGGAGTTTCGGTTACCCAGTTTACCTGGATCTGGGTTAGTGGGAGTTAACTGTCTAACCAACTAAATAAATTTCTTAGAAAACGGAAACTTATCCCAGTAGGCTTCAAAATAGTTTTTATCTAACCAGATTTTAGTCTATGTAAGAACGATTTCAAATTTTATTTGCCTCATTTTCTAAGTATTACTGTGCATCAGTTTTTCTTAATGAGTGCAAATTAACATTATTAAAAAGATTGTACTGTTCTGCACCATGGTGTTATTCTCAGGGGTGTTAGAGATATTTGGGGCTGCTTTCTGTTAAATGTTCCTAATTACTGTGCAGTTGGATTTCTGTCTGGAAGTTCTCGTTCGGGGTCTCTGCAGTGTTGTACTGGCTGGATTGGCTGTGTGCGTGAACGTGAGGAGGAGGCAATTTCTGGGTTCTTCCCATTGCTACTACACCACATATTATTTCTTACTGTCACCATTTCTTACTGTTGGCACTGAGTCTGCTGTAACCCGTCTTACCCCTCCTTTCTCATCTTCAATGAGCTAGAAAATGAAATAAACAAGCCCGTTAAAATTGTGTTGAATGTGAGTTAGGCAATGAGTCCAGCAGGTGGCAGGGTGGTTAGGGTGCTGGACTCATTGTCTAACTCATATTTAACACAATTGGCCAACCACAGTCCAGCCATGATTTTCAAGTCTCCCACCTTGAAAATCATGCCAGGTGCATGTATATGCATGCCCAAAATCCCAGGAGGAGGGTAGAGGAGAAGGGATTGCGGTGTGGTCATCCCCCTTGGAGGGTGATTTCTCACTTTCCCTTTCACTGTCTCTGTCTCTCACCCTCTCTTCAGTGAGTGTACATGCCCTATGGCCCAAACCTAAAATTAAAAAAAAAAAAAAATTAATCCAGAGATAGTTACAAGCAGTATTTGGATTTGAGAGCAAGTCATCTGTTCATTTTCATTTAATCCTTGGTTCTAGAGAGTCTGAATTTCGATGTTGCCCAAAGATTTCAGTAAATCACTGGACATTATTATTTTTCATGTGCATCGGAGCAGGCTGCCTGGTAGGACTCAGAGTTCAGTAACTGCTTAGTTATTTGGTATAGCCGACTTGTTTCTCTGATCTCTTAGAATAAGCCTCCCAGCACACATACTATGGGTGAAAGGCCAGGGCCTGACGTGGGTCAGCTGAGCATGTGAAGAGCGCATTTATCTACAGTGGACTGGTGTTGACGAGGCCAGCCTGGGAGGAAGGTGGAGGGAGGGGGTGGTGGAGTGTCCTGTGTGCGACCCGCCCTGCCTCAGAAGGTAGTTTGTATAAAATGCTCAGTTTCCCTACTCAAGTTGGGATGCAAATCAGAAGCTCACCTTATAGGGAAGTCCAGCTTTGGAAGAGGTTTTGCCTCCTCCCGGTGAAGGTCTGGTCTGGAGGGGAGGAGCCTCTCCTGGCTTCGTGCTGCTCTCGCTGAGCTCATGGGAAGTGAAAACAATGAGAGGGCAAAACTGTGTGTCAGTCCCAAGGCCCCCAGAGACACTTTCTGGACCCATTTTGTGGACTGAGTCATTCTCGTGATCTCAGTGTGGAGTTCCTGGTTAATGTGCTGTAGTTTGCCAACAGATCGATCTCCCCTTACACTAGCAGCAGACCAGGTTGATAAAGTATGGCTCTGCTTTCAGATTTGAATTATTTCTAATAAGGAAAAAACAAAGAGGGACCAGCAGTTGGCCTAATGGCTATGTCGGTGGACTCCCCCGTAGGCGACCACGGTTCGTGTCCCGGACACGCGGCTTAAAACTCACACCGGGCGCGTGTGCGTGCATGTCCAAGATCCCGAGAGGAGAATGGAGGAGACGGGATTGCGGCGTGGCCATCCCCCCTGGGGGGTGATTTCTCACTTTCTGTCTCTCTGTCTCTGTCTGTCTGTCTGGCGAGCGCACGCGCCCTATGGCAAAAAACTCTCCAAAAAAAAAAAAATAGAGATAAATATTAGAAAACACCATTAGCTTTAGGTTTTCAGCTCTTCTCTTTTCTTAGTGGGATCTTACTGTCAGCCCCGAATCTGCATGAAGAGGATGTGAGTGTGAGGTAGGAGTACAGGTGCTGGGCTCAGCCTGGTGAGAGCTGAGCTGCGGTGCTGGGCGCACTCAGCGAGGGAGATTAGAGGAGCTGGAGTCCCGGGGAAGGGAGGTCGTGGCGTGATGAGACCCTGTCGAGGGCTTCTCTCCCTTTCCGTCTCTCGTGCATGCGCACATATGCCACCATGAATAAAATAAAAGTAAACTTAACAGGTGGCGTGGATGTTAAGGTGCTAGATCCCACATGGCTGACTACATGGTTCAAGTCCTGGACCTGGTGGCTTGATAATCACACAGGGTGCATGCGTGTGCATGCCCAAAATCCTGAGAGGAAAGAAGAGAAGGGGTGGAGGTGTGGCCATCCGCCCGGGGGTGATTTCTCACCTTCTCAGCTCTGTCTTTCTCTGGTGAGTGCATATACCCTATGGCAAAAACCAAAAGGAAAGAAAGAGAGACAGGCCCTCCTTTGACCTAGTTGACACCACCTGGAAGAGTTGGAATAGATAAACCCGGGTGCGGTGCGCTTGCTCCTGAGCAGCAGTGCTGACACACCCAGAGCTGCAGTCAGTCTGCGGGAAAGGATTTCCTCCTGAAATAAAGTGCTAAAATTAAAAGGCATTTTTCCTAGGAGAGGATTTTCTTCGATTGGTCGTAAGTAACTGCTAGGGCTTCCCTGGCTGACCAGATTCTACCAGATGGGAATGAACAGCCCCCTTCCCCACTCTGACCAGGCAAAAACCTCCCCCACGGCCTTCACTGGCTTCGGTAGCGTGCGGAAGATAGAGAGGAAGAAGCCGTTCCAGAAAGGAGAATAGCGAGCGTGTTTTCAGCAGCCTGGAAGGAAAGACTGGCTAATCTCTTCAGGAAACTGCTTTCCTGAACAAGAGCGCTCTGATTGTGGAGGAGAAGGAAGTGCCTGTCCCTAACAGGAGACTTACAAGGAAGGAGGGACTTGGTATCACGGAAACTGGAGCCAAAAGCTCCCCCAGGGTGACCTTCCTGGGAAGGATAGGAAAAGAGAAAGCCATTAAGCCTGCTGGTAGCAGAGGCTTCCCCCACTGTGAGATTCCCTGTGTAGGTTTCCCTTGCCAAGAACTGAGCTCGTTCTGAGCCTCGAGACAACCTCCACCACCCCCCAAGTACCCCGTCTCCCCATAAGAATCATGCTGACGTCTTGGTCAGAAATAGTGGCGGTCTAGGTACTGTACCGGTGAGGAGTGAAGAGGCTGGGTGTGCCCTGGTTCACGGGGTGTCATACGTGATGTGAAGAGGCTGGGTGTGCCCTGGTTCACGGGGTGTCATACGTGATGTGAAGAGGCTGGGTGTGCCCTGGTTCACGGGGTGTCATACGTGATGTGAAGAAGCTGGGTGTGCCCTGGTTCACCAGTGTCATCCGTGTCGTGAAGAAGCTGGGTGTGCCCTGGTTCACCAGTGTCATCCGTGTCGTGAAGAAGCTGGGTGTGCCCTTGTTCACCGGTGTCATGCGTGTCTGCTCTCTGTGCACTCAGGCCAGCCTTTGCACTTGCCGTTCTGCTGCCCGGTGAGCAGAAAGAACAATGGGAAATAGAAACCTTTAGAGGCTGTGATTTCTCACACAGGTTCGCCACCAGGAGTACATTTGAGGCATCATGAGGAAGGGCTTCCCCCTTCTTGTCTTTGAGGCCAGGCGTTGGGCCGCAGGTGCACAGCAGGTTTCCTGGACGAGCCTCGCTCCTCGTTCAGGTTGAGCAGGGCCTCCATGCTGGCCGCTTCTGTCTGGAAGACCTAGATATTCTCCTGTGAAACCAGAACAAGGAGGTCCTGTAGACCCCTCCGTTCGATATTTTTTGTCTCAGGGAAAGCAAGCTTAGGCTTCCTCTTGAGCACATGTGAAAACCCGGGGAAGATGGGGCCCGGTGTGGAGCTGAAAGACTGCCAATTTCCACAGAAGTCCTTACCTCTGCCTTTCAGTGATTACAAAGGCAGTATCAGCCCATCTCTGTGTTTTACCAGCAGGTCACCTGCCTGAGAGTCCCTGCAGGAAAGAGCAAACGAGGTCAGCATTGTCTCTCTGCCCATGGGGGAGGTAGGCCTAGGTATCCTGGTTATGAATCTGGGTGTGCCCTGTTTCGCCAGTGTCATCCGTGTCGTGAAGAAGCTGGGTGTGCCCTTGTTCACCGGTGTCATCCGTGTCGTGAAGAAGCTGGGTGTGCCCTTGTTCACCGGTGTCATACATGCTGTGAAGAAGCTGGGTGTGCCCTTGTTCCCTGGGTGTCGTACGTGTTGTGAAGAAGCTGGGTGTGCCCTTGTTCACCGGTGTCATGCGTGTCTGCTCTCTGTGCACTCAGGCCAGCCTTTGCACTTGCCGTTCTGCTGCCCGGTGAGCAGAAAGAACAATGGGAAATAGAAACCTTTAGAGGCTGTGATTTCTCACACAGGTTCGCCACCAGGAGTACATTTGAGGCATCATGAGGAAGGGCTTCCCCCTTCTTGTCTTTGAGGCCAGGCGTTGGGCCGCAGGTGCACAGCAGGTTTCCTGGACGAGCCTCGCTCCTCGTTCAGGTTGAGCAGGGCCTCCATGCTGGCCGCTTCTGTCTGGAAGACCTAGATATTCTCCTGTGAAACCAGAACAAGGAGGTCCTGTAGACCCCTCCGTTCGATATTTTTTGTCTCAGGGAAAGCAAGCTTAGGCTTCCTCTTGAGCACATGTGAAAACCCGGGGAAGATGGGGCCCGGTGTGGAGCTGAAAGACTGCCAATTTCCACAGAAGTCCTTACCTCTGCCTTTCAGTGATTACAAAGGCAGTATCAGCCCATCTCTGTGTTTTACCAGCAGGTCACCTGCCTGAGAGTCCCTGCAGGAAAGAGCAAACGAGGTCAGCATTGTCTCTCTGCCCATGGGGGAGGTAGGCCTAGGTATCCTGGTTATGCTGCAGCCAAGATAAGAGGAGTAGCTACCCTCCGCCCCCAGGCACCACCCCTACCTTGTGCTGACCCTTGGCCAGCTTGGCCTTTTCGTTCCTTCCAGTAGAACTGGGGTTAAAGGAAGTAGCGAATGCCCTAGAGTAGGATTTCACAATTTCCACCCTACTGACCTTCGGAGCTGGGTAGTTCTTTGTCCTGTGAATTATGTCTGACCCGTAACTACGAGACAGTGGTACTATCAGCTTGACAACCACAAATATTTACTGACATTGCCAATGTCCCTGGGAAGGCGGAGTCCCTCTCAGGTAGAACCCGCTGCGCTTGAAGACAGCTGCCACCTCTGTGTGCGCAGTTCAGGACTCAGACGGAATAGGTCCCAGCTGGTTACGTTGGATATTTATAAGCAAGTGTCCTGCTTGTCATCTGATTATGACTGTTTCAGTGCAAAACCACTTCTGGGGACAGCAGATGGTGTAGTGGTCAAGGCACTGGGCTCCCACATTGCCGACCGCGGATCAAGTCCCAGACGTGGCGATTTGCTCTCCCTCTTTCTTCTCTCTCTGGTGATCACACGTGCTGCATAGAAAATAAGAACAACAAAGGGCAACAACCACTGCTTAGCCTTCTTTTAGGCCAGGCTCTGGAGTCCTCATTCTTGCTGGTGCTGATCTGTGCCTGGTTTAAAAGCTAGTCACTTTTCCTGGCATCTGGAATTTGCACAGTTGTTGGTACAGGTGTTTGGTTGATGATGCGTTTCTGCAGAGGAACTTCCTTTGTGGAAATACTAATACCTCAGGGAGCTTCCTCGTCCTGTGCCTTTAAGGGGAGACTACAGTCTGTCAGTTGTTTTCCAAGCAGACCGAGTTTGGCTGCTAGTATTTATAACCCGCATGTGGTCACTCCCACCTCCCCCACCCCCAAGAATTCCAATGCTGTGTAATAATCCTGTCCATCCCCACCATAGCAACTGGGTGGGGAGAAGGTGAAGGAGCCTTTAAGGCCAATAAATTTGCTTTATGTTGAACTTTTTTCCAGCTCTGTTTTGAAGTATCATCTTAGTATTTTAAATATCATCATCAAAAGCAAAATCTCAAGTTTGCAGCTGTTCTGTCATCTTAAAGAAACCTCATACCTCCACAAACACAGTAAAATCAAATGGAAGGTTGTCAAAAAGGCATCGACAGCGGGACCAGCAGTTAGTGTAATGGCTATGTCGCTGGACTCCCATGTAGTCGACCACGGTTTGCATCCCGGACCCGGTGGCTTAAAACTCACGCTGGGCGTGTGTGTGTGCGCGTGCCCAAGATCCCGAGAGGAGAATGGAGGAGAAGGGATTGTGGCGTGGCCATCCCCCCTGGGGGCTGATTTCTCGCTTTCTGTCTGTCTGGCGAGCGCATGTACCCTATAGCAAAAAAAAAAAAAAAAGGCATCGATAAATTTTACAAAAATCCACCTCGAAATTTTGATACCACAGGGTGATTTGTTTTTTTGTTGGTTTTAATTTACCATGGGGAGTATGTGCACTCAGCAGAGACCGAGAGGAGGGAAAGTGAGAAGTCGCCCTCCGGGGATGATGGCCATGCCACAGTTCCTTCTCCTCTATTCTCTTGGGACCTTGGGTGGGCACACATGAACACTTTGCCTGACGTGGTTTTCAAGCCACTGGATCCAGGGCTCAAACTGTGCAGTTGGCCTTATGCGATCCAGCTGCTTTAACTTCCGTGCCCCCTGCTAGCTCCACAAGGGAAGGTTTTATTTATTTATGTAGAAGCATACATTTATTTATTTGTTGCGATTTTCAAACCTCTGGATCTGGGACTCAAACCACGGTTGGCAGTGTGGGAGTCCAGCATCCTAACATACCACCTGCTGGCCACATGGAGAGATTTTAAAAGCAACAAACAAATATATCCTCAACCAAAGAAAAGGACTGAGCAGTTTGAATTGAATGTACCAAAATTCCTCATATACAGTATCAGCATGTAGCAGTTACAATTAAGATTCTTTATATGATTTTGTACAAAAAGGAAGAAAAATCTGTTTCCAGGAAAACTGGAATGTCCCCTCTACAGAAGGTGTGTTTATTGTTGAATGTGTGATCACTGTCCACAGTTGAGATCTGCACAGACTTGCAGAACAGGGCTATTCGTCCTGTGTCTAGGGATGAATGTTAACTGGTCTCAGCCTGAGCTCGGTCCTGGGCACTTTCAGGCTAGCTGGCTGGCACCTAAGCCGTAAGCACTGGGCCTCTAGGAAGTGTGCTGAGTTGCTCTGGTGGGCCCATTATTGTTGGAGTTGGTTGGTGACCAGGAATAAAAACGAGTCCCGCAGGGAGTCATATCAGGTCACTGCACCAAAGCATCCTTGTACCAAAGGGCCGTCTCCTGCCGGATGGATTTTTCCAAGTCTCAGCTGTCCCAGTGAGAAAAGCCTAGCCGTGGGGAGAATGCGCTGCCCTCCCCACCCGTTCTTTGCCTCCACCAGATATGAGTCTGCTATTGGCAGTGGAAGGTTTATGGGTTACACTTATTCACTAGGCCTTCACAGACCACTTCCTGCCACTAGTACTGTTACTTTAAATATGGATATTTCAGAACTTTGGGCCACCCAATATTGAGATTAAGAGATCCATGGCGATGGTCCATGGCTCCTCAAGTGGGGCTTCATGTTTCTTTCAGTCCATCCTGACTGTGCCTATCTTTGTGTAGGTGCTGGGGTCTCAGACAGTCTCTCAGTAACAGTGCAGTACATTATGGGAAACAGACACAGGGAATTGCAGTGGTAGTGATGTAGTGAGTGCTAAGTGCAGTGAGAGAGTACTGTATCTAAATAATCTCTGATCAAAAAACACCCTCTGGGGGACCAGCAGTTAGCGTAATGGCTATGTCACTGGATTCCCATGTAGTCGACCGCGGTTCGAGTCCCGGACCCAGTGGCTTAAACTCACGCCGGGCGCGTGTGCGTGCGTGCCCAAGATCCCGAGAGGAGAATGGAGGAGAAGGGACTGCGGCGTGGCCATCCCCCCTACGGGGTGATTTCTCGCTTTCTGTCTCTCTGTCTCTGTCTGTCTGTCTGGCGAGCGCACACACCCTATAGCAAAAACCTCTCCAAAAAAAAAACCCTCTGTAAATCAGGCATTTGGAATCCCAATTTGCAAAGAAGAAAACTGAGGCTTAGCATAACTTGTTCAAGCCACATAGCAAGTAAACCTCAGAGTTGGGATTGGGAAGGTCTGTTTACTAGCAAAGTTAACCCTGTGCCAGTGGTTCTCAACCAGGGACAGTTTGGTCCCCTGAGGGACATTCGACAATGTCCAGAGACATCACTTATTGGCATGACCAGGGAAGCTGCTACCAGCATCTGGAAGGTGCTGGAAAACATCCTGCAACACACAGGACAGCTCCTTGCAATAAAAGAATTATTCAGCCCACCAATCTGATTTTTGCCTTTCTCAGAGTCTATGACAAATCTAACTGCCTGGGGAAGAAGCGTCTGTGGTTTTCCTCTCCTTTTTCAAAAATGAGTTCAGAAATAGTGTTGCTTCTGAGAGCGCCTTACATGAATCTGTTGGGTAAAGTGGGATCTTGGTGAGCTAATTTGAGTCGCGGCTAAGGAATTCTCTCCATGCTTGACCAGTCCCCACCCCACCCTCCACGCAGCTCCTGCTGTGGAAGTTGATCAGCTGTGCATCTCAAGCTGCTTCCTGTGGGGTGTGTGATGGAATGGCAGCAGCCCCTGCACCAGCTGGGAGTACTGATCGCAGTGTGATTTTATCAGTCTGTCTTTTGAGCCTTGCTGTTTGGAACAAAGGACCCTCTGTTAGGAATGCAGAGAGCCAGTGTGATTGGACAACCAGCATGTACGCACATGGTTCCCACGGAATAAAAGACACAAATTATGCTGTAGCCTTCCAAAGCTTGGGCCTCCAAGGTGGATTTCCTGAGCTTCTGTCTGTGTGTACCCTTGTTTCTGTGAGTGCTTATCTTTCCCCCACATTGACGCGGGAGCCATCTGATCTGATGAATTCAATGACGGCACCCTTTAGAACCAGTCTGTTTCTGTGCTTCCAGTCTTTTCCCTCCGGTCTTGGAAACTACACATTGGAGCTCCACTCTTTCTAGTCTTATTTCCTATACTACCCATTGGGCCACCCACTCCACCCACGTACTCCAGACTTTCCCTGTACGGTTCACCTACGCAGTTCTTCCTATACCTGAAGGCACGGCTCAAGTCCCGTCTGTTCTCGAAGCCTTCCTGATCTCCCTAGCCACTACTGGTCCTGATTGAAGTCACTTAATACATATAACTCACTTGACCCCTACAGACCACGAACTTTGGCCTTTTCTGATCACATACATTTGTCTCATCTCTCACCTTACCCAATCCATTTTTGCGTCCCTTAATGTAGTTCATAGATTGCAGTATACGTAGTTGGAGATCACTGGGTGTTTGACTGGGTGGATGAATGCTCTTTGTATTTCATAAGCTCTAGGATCCCAAATGCTATCTACTCTGTTAAGACTTGAAGTATATCCTTGTGTGTCCTGAAGAAAGTCCAGCATTAGCCTGGTTTCCTGACCTGGGCTCTCTTCCTCCTCTACTAGTTTGTGTCTGTTAAGGGAACCCAATCTCATTTCAGTATCTGCCCAAACCAGACAAAACTAAAGACATTTGCTACTTCATATGCACTTGAAGAAAGCTAGATCCTGAGCTAGCATTTTGCAGGTACCCATCACTTTTAGAGTCATTGTCATTTACTCAATTAGTTGACACCTAAAAAGAGTCTTCATGGGGCCAGCAAGTGGTGTGGTGATTAGGGTGCTGGACTTCCACATGGTTGACTATGGTTTGTGTCCCAGACATGGTGGCTTTTTTTTCTCACTTCCCCGCTCTCTCTCTGTCTCTCTGGTGAGCACACATACCCTCTAACAAATTAAATAATAATAATAATAAATGTAAGTAATTCTTTTAAAAAAGGTGGGGGGAGGCTTCATAGCTCTTTCAACTTGGAGTAGTGAAAAAAAATAGAATTAAAATTTGAGTCAAAAATACCCACCTTTGAATCCTGGCATCATTTACTAGCTAAATGACCTTGGGGAAAATTACTTAACCTCTCTGTATCCTATTTACTTGAATTATAAAATGTTAAATCATACCTTTAGGATTTTTATGAGAATCATATAAAGTGATATAGATTAAAACATCAGGTTCGGGGCAAAGCAGATGGCATGGTGGTTGGTGTGCTAGACTCCCACATGACTGACTGTTCTTTGAGTCCTGGACCTGGTGTCTTGCTTACTCACTTTCTCTCTGTCTCTCTCTGGTGAGCACACATGCTCTAGAGCAAATTTTAAAAATAATAATAGCAGTTAAGTTAAATAATTCCCCCCAAAAAAATTTTAAAAAATCATGTTTACATTAGGTGTTCAATGTATAATAATATACTTTTAAAAATCTGTATCCAGGGGCCAACCAGTGGCATGGTGGTTAGAGCAGCTGGCTCCCACATGGCCGACTGTGTGGTCTGA